ACCTGAACAAGTGATAGAAATCCACTTGTTTTCATCCTCTAGGCCCGGCCAGATGACTACACCAATCAGCTGAGCTCCTTACAGCAGGCTGTCTCCTTCCACAAGCACTGGAACATAGATCCTGTGTCTGTCTACAAACACTGGCTGCAGGACACACAGCTACGAGATGAACTCTAGATGCACTCGGCCTCCTCAAGTATGTTTGACTTTCTGTGGAGATGATATTAAATAAGCGGAGTGGAGATAAACATGAGTGAAAACACCGGAGCCCGTACGGTGGCTGGAGAGATGTTTGAACATCTGTTTGCTCATATATAAATACATATACCACACTGAACGTGGTGTATGTATTTGTCATACCATATATGTAAACATCTACTTGTTTTAATTCTCCCTCTGTTCTGGCAACAGAACACAGAACCCTAACCCAACAGAAAAAAAAGCTTTTGTCATATTTCAGAATGTTGATTAATCCACAGCTACCCTGTGATTAATCAGATCGCACGGTGAAGTGAAAGCACAGGATCACAAACTGTCACTCCCAGGAGAGAGAGAATCTTATGAATCACAACGTGTGTCTCAGTATCAGGTGTCACCGTGAACCTGGTCGCTATGGCGACAGGTGTATTGACAGCAAGTAGTAATTTCAGACTGAAGTCTTTGAATGAAGCCGAGCAGACTGTGGTAAATATGTATTCAGCATCTGATGCAGAACAAATAAATCACTGTCATTTTATTCACAGCAGCCGACAGGAAGTGCTCCGTATCTGATGGCTTAATTGTTATTGTGATTTCTCACTTCACTGTGGGAATGCCTTAGTACGTCCACCGTGAAAAAAAGTCAGAATAAATCATGGATTCTTCCCATCAGAATAATTAATCTGTTCTCTGCTCTGTATGCGGGTCAAAAGTTCACTTTTCATTTTAAATCCAGTCCCAGAATTACACATTAGTAGTAATGCCCCAGCCTGACCGTTACTGCTCCTTAACGATCACAAATATAAGCCTGATTCTCATGATCAAATTCATCCAATGCTACTGGCTCCACTCCTGTACCCAGTCTGTGCTTGATGAGTGAGTAAACATACTGTTAACGTAGTACTAATTTTAAGGCCAGTAAAAAAGTACATATTGTACGAGACAACTGTGTTTTCCAGGCTGCTGTTCTTTCACCAATTTATTCGCCTAATGATATAATTCATTTCTGTTATGGACGTTTGACAATATCACACCATAAAGACTGTGAAATTGCTTTTTTTGGGCTGCTGTGGAGTTGTGTCCAACCGTGCTCCTCCACTGGTGAAAATGACACATTGTCATCAAGATCCAAACTAGTCCCTGCATGACTCACTGGTTCTTGATACTGTTTTGAAGTCTAGTATTACAATAACCAACAGATCAAACAGCAGAAGGTGTCACACCTTCTCTGACAACAACTTCCACGAATTGTTCTAAAAATAAACAATTGCCTAAATTCTACAAGTTGAACAGCTGGGGATCTGTGCTATAAATGTCTGATGTAGGAAGACTTTAATTTTTTGATTTTCCAAAGTTCTCGTCTTTAAAACAACAACAACAAAAAACCCTGGGACACAAAATAAATAAATTGGCGAACCCTTCAACTTTAGTGAACAACAAGTCCTTGTTTTTAAACATGAACTGGAAACATGTTTAATTTAACAGCTGAATCTGTGAAATTAAATGCTGAGGATTTAATTCATTCAAGTCAACATGCTAAATGTAACAATGCTCCCCATTGTCTCGACTGATGTTTTGTTTTGACATCACGGCGACACAGTGTCTGAAACTGATCTAAAGGACAGAACTGAAAACTAGTTATTACCAGATTTATTCTTTAATAACGTTTTGACTTTTTGGCTATGAGAGGTCTAAGAGTCTCAAATGAAATCAGACCTTGTATACTGTTAGTGAATTTCCAATTTACATGAACACTTTTACTGTTTGTCGTGCAATTACAAGTTTTTGACAAAGATCTGACAAATGTGACAAATGTGTAAATGTTGATACTATGACATTTCAGTGCAAGACGAAAAGCTGCCAATATTTCTCCACCTGTCAACCGTAATTACCAGGCAGTGGAATTATTTTTGTACAGTCACAAGTGTTAGGTTTCTTAAAGCTAATACAGAGCTGCTAACTGCTAACTCTGGTCTATGATCTCAGACCCATAGGTTAAATAATAAGACAGCCGTACACTGACAAAGGTTTAGACCAGGAATGTCCAATTTCTGGCCCATGAACTACACACATGCAGCCCACGTCTCAATGTCAGTTTAATGCAGGGGTCACCAACGTGGTGCCCCGGGGCACCTGGTAGCCCCCATGGGTCACCTGGTGCCAACAGGGTACGTTCTAAAAATCAAACTAGTCAACAAGAAGGGTCAAACACTGTACTGTGACTGTGCTTTTTGAATACAATGATATTCAAATGGGTGCGATGACGATGGTAAGAAGAGTGTCTGCTGTTGTATGTCCCAGAACTGATTATTATTATGTTGTTCAGGAAGTCCTTATCAGACAAGTAGCTCTTCATATGACTAAGTGCCCTTGAAGTAGCTCTCAGTTTCCAAAAGGTTAGTGACCCCTCGTGTTATCCTTCGGGTCTAGGTGACCTGGTGGGTCAATGTGCCTTTGTGTGTGTGTGTGTGTGTGTGTTTGCTCCTGTACTGCATGGCTTGTGCCAACTTTTCTGCATATTCTGATTCTGGGACAAGATAAAAATCCATTGCGAGGACGCTGGGTGTGAACAAAATGCAAGGACAAGGATTTTTTAATTTACAGAATTATGTTTTTGTTGGGTTTTTTTTTAACCAATGATCACATTTAGATTTAAAAAAAAAACCCAATCTACTAGCCTTGACCATGTCAATTCAAAGACCTATGTCTGGTTATTTAATTTAAAAGTGCCTTGAGAATCAAGCATTTTCTTCGTCAAACAAAAACACTCTTGGCCTCAGTGACAGTCATTGTTTATACCAACTTGATCTGATCCCTCCAGCTTTTGTGTTAGAAGTATTGCCACAAGATTGTTTCCCAGGAAATGCAGATTATTAGAACATGACCCAGGCACCAACCAATTAAAACGTTGGGAGTAAACCAACTCCGTCGGAGTGGACGGAGCCGGAGAATGAACACGGGTTTTTTAATCTCTGCCCACGTGAGGCAGTTTGTTTTAGCTGAGCCATAAAAATGATAGTTATCGAGGTGAAACCGGTCCCTTGCACAACCTGTTTATAATCGCACAGGTGGCACAGAGTGTGTCGGCGAGGAAACACCTAGCCATTGTCCATTTTCACAAACAGTGAACAGTGAACGTGTGAACTCATGTGTCTAAACTCTGACTATGAGTAATTGGAATTTACCTGTGTTGTTTTGAGCAGCGTAATAATTGTTACTTCACGTCACAATCGTGGGCCACCTAGTGGAAGAGTGGTGAACACCGCTGAGTTTGGATGTTCACCCAGAGTGTGATGGTTTTCTCCAGGTCTTCTGGAGAAAACTCCAGGGGGCAGGGGGGGTTAATGGAGCAGAGTCTTATCAGTCCACAGAAAGGATTCATTTGAACCTCTCTTCAAAGTGGATTTCAATCCCTGAGACATTACTTTGTTTCAACATGTGTTTTTACAGCACTGACTACTTTTTTTTGTACCAGGAGAATACTGTATCTCTCTGACCGACTGCTGATATGGTTAGTTATTTGTCCTGTTGTGAAGAAGCAGTTACAACTCTCAGTGTTATTCTGATTGTTATCTCGTCAGATCATATTAGCACTGCATATTAATTACTTTCATAAAGTATCATGATTGGAATTATGTTTTCCCTGTTTTGTGAATCTGTTTTTTTTTATATTTAAAAAGGTATTCTTTAAGGTTTTCCCACCTCCTCCCTCCTTCCTGTGTTCTTGCTCCTGTGATTACCTGCTTTGATTTGCCTTAACCCTAATGTTTTGTGTTCCTCCTGTTTATCAGTGATTTCAAGCCTTTGCCTGTGATTGTCCTTTTAACACCGTTATCTTCAGACCAAGTCAGAGGACCGTGACCGGATAAAAACGCCTGGACTCTCTCCTGTCCACACAGTCCTGCATTTGGTTCCTCATTCATCTGTGTCGGGAGTCATCTACACTGACAGGTCAGCAGAACAGTAAGCCATGCTTCTTATGTCATCAAACCATAGACCAGACACTGTAGGTCCAACAGACAGTGTTGTATGTTATTGATGATTGATGAGGACCAGATTTATCAGAGATGATGACATGTAGACGCTCACATTTTTTTTGTCTCCCTCAAATTAGCAGCAGCAATCTGATATTGTAACCTGTTTGTTTTTTGTTTTCTTCTCAGAACTACTTCAGAATCAGAAATTTGATTGCCTGGGGAAAATTGCAACCGATGTTATCTGGAATACAGAAGAAAAAAAAATTAAAAACTGGAGGCTGGGGTGAGTCACCTTTGTTAACCCTGGTTAATTATTCACAAGATTTTTGGTAAATTTAGTTATTTCCACACAGTTTCTGTCAGTTTCGATCTTCGTTGTTAGCCTTTTCATCAGAGGAGTTTATATTGTAGGTTTGTGTAGTAGTAGTAGTAGTAGTGGTGCCTCCATGAGGTGGGTGGCAGTTTGTACCTTTGTATGTGTGAGTGTGTGTGTGACAGACCGTGTGACCGCGTGTGTGACAGTTGAATGTCTTGATGCCAGGTCGAGTGTGTGAGCTCATTTCTACTGTTATTGTCACTGTGGGTACACACTACTGATGGCGTGTACTCCCAGTCAGTACTCCCAAGTCAAATACAACGTCACCAGTTCACAGTGAACATGCTGATGAAAATCTGTCATCGTCTCTGAAAGAACACGGTGTGTACTCGTGGTGTGTACTTTGCATTTATGTTAGGAGCATAATTAGAGGCAAATAAATAACGAAACGTGGTGAAGGATGGGGTTGATGAGTACAAGGTATGACTGAGAGACTGTGTCAGTCATTAAGAGCCTTGTTACAGAATTTGCCTGGGTGAACATTGTTATTAAAGAAGGCGCTCAATTGAACTCTTAGATCAGCATATGTAAGTGACTTTCATTCATTGATAAAGGCCCGTTTACTGTGAGGCTGCTATCACTGTGTATTCTAACAACCAACCTACTGTCAGGTGTGGAAAAAAAAGAACTGAACCAGTTCATTTTTTCATGTTTTCTGAGGTACAAGCGATATTGCAACAAACATTTTTCTGATCAGTTCCGCTGAAATGTTTGGCTTTCTGAAATATTGCTTTCACTTAACTTCAAAACATGACCACAAAGGAACAAAGGCCCGGGGGTCTGTTCAGGGAGACCACTGGAGCGCATGTCAGAATTCCCAGCCCCTGTTTACTGCACTTTGCAGCAGCCGTGGCCGTGTTTATCAGGTCACATATCTGCTGACGCTCTTCAAGGTTTAATCTAATCCTCATGGGAATATTCTCTGTCTCCTGGCCTTAGAATTCACTGCTGCTTTTAAACTGGACTCTGTTTGTCCGTCTCACTGTGACGGTGGAGTAGTTGAAGGAAGATTTGACGTTAGAGCAGGGCTGTCAAACATATGGCCCGTGGGCCAAAACTGGCCCACTAGGGGGTTAAATTCATGCTTGATGAATGTTGAAAGACATCTCAAATATTTTATTATATATATATTTCTTTTTTCAATATACTTGTACTCACTTGCATGAAAACAAAGGGGACTTATTGTAAATTATAGGTAAATATGCTATGATTGCACATACGGAGACATTTGCATTGCAGATTTCAGCTGGTTGTTGCTTTTGAGCGACTATAACTTACTATAACCAACGCTACGGTAAAGGGTTGTCGTTCATCTTCACTCCAACTGTCTGTGGTTGTTGTTATATTAGTGAAATCTGACCTTGATTGATATGCAGTTCCAGTTAAACCTCAGCATATCTGTCTGCAGGCCTGTAATTTATCATGCATCTATTATGTGGAGCTTCCAGGACAAATGTGTGCTTCAGGTTTTGGAGGACACTTCTGAGAAGAAGGGAATCAAACTTGTGACCTTTTCATCCAGAGGGTGACAACCTCTTTATCAAATCCCTCTCACCTCCGCAGCCCAAATGTATCAAACGTGTCTCGAAGGTCACGGACATTTGTGACATTTTAGCTAGAATTAAAATTCAGCGGAGGCACCGTGGACCAAACTGTGGCTCCTAAAGAGATCAGTGTTTAAGAGGGACAGGGGGAAGAAAGTGCCAAAAAAAAAAAAAAAAAAGAAAAAGAAAAGAAACATAATCTGTTCAGTTCTCAGGTTGCATGTTCAGGCATGCTGTTGGTTTAAGGATTACATTTCCGCCTTCTTTTCTTTTGTCCATGCTGGACCACACGATTAAGGACATAGTTTTCCTGCCTTAGTGACACGACAACATATTTATGTGGCAGCCTGTTCTTTTGTCCCGGTGATGCGCTCCACTTACAGCAGTATGCTGCTGATTTAGAGGCGTGCTCATCAGTCAGTTCACTTATAACAACAACAATCATTTACCTTCAGACCTGAGAACCTGAGTCAACAAATATTTGGCAGTTTAACACTGGGTTTATGTTGCCAAACTCATTTTAGCCACCGCCGTAGGCATTATAAGAAGTTCAGCCCTGTTTTATTTCTACTTTATATTTTACTGTTTAGTACATGTGCGTATATATATATATATATGAAAAATGGAAATGAAAGAAAAGATGAGTTTCTATGCAGATGATAATCTCCTCTTACTTTATTAAATTCTTTCCAGTAATGTTGTTGAAACCATTGTGTTAAATTCTTCACTAAATACAGTGAAGAAACAAATAATGATACATCACCATTTTGATATTTTTTTTGTGATAGTTTGGGTTCTTCATAGATTTAAACCCAAAATGTCCGACGACATTTTCAGGGCTTTGGTCCAAAGCCCTGCCGCCATGTTGACCCCTGGCTACAGCAGTTTTTAACCACGGTAAAGTGATTTATTTAAGATTTGGATTTCATATTTTTGTAATTTCAAAAAATGTTTTTTTATGCTTTTTTTCTATTTATTACTTCAACATCTATTCATCTGTGTATGACTTTACTGTTCCCCAAGGAGGAGAACACATGTTGTCAGTTAAGAGACTGTACCCACAAAATTTTGGAGCAGTCTGTAAAAAGAACAAAAAAAACCAAAACAAAAACAAAAAAATATGGATCTACGGCCTGCCTTAAGCTACTCGTACTATCTTGAGACCAAACTAATTCAGTTAAAAACGGCACATTATGCTCCACTTATTTATTCATGAGGAAGTTTTCATATGAGGCTAATCCTGCACACTAGCTTCTCTTTTAAGAAGTTATCTCGCAGAATCAGGTTACGTGTAACGAGCTACAGACAGGACAGGAAAACAAACCAATTACCCTTTTTTGAGTTTTTGTTTTGGGGGGAAATGGGAGATTTCCCTTCAATTTGTTTATTTGTTTGCCACAACTGATTATTTATTCTGGAATGATGTATTATTAAGCAGATATGTGAGCGCACATGGACTCTGTGGTTGTGTTTATCTGATGGAAAATACGTGTTCGATGTTTAATTTAGAGAACTATTTTCTGGTGTAGGCAAATAAGGGCGTACCAGACTCAGGCGTGTCTGTTTTTTTTTCTTCTCACAGTTGCCATTTGTGGACATGCACTATTAAATAATGACTAATAGTATAATTACTGCAGTTTAAGTCGGAGTCTTTAAGTGGAGGGAGCGTGGATACGACTCAGAAAGAAATGGAGGCTGAGGTCATTTGGCAGAAAAAAAAGAAAGTACAACAGATTTAACTGAAAGGAAATGGTGTGCTGTCTTTGGTAAAGAGCTGTAAATGCAGGTTCTACCAATCCATTTGATTGAAATCCATTGGATTAAAGGCACTATAAATGGATGTCCAAAATGAGGAGCAACATGTCTGTGTAGGTTCTCAGTCATCCAGGTCATTTATTCCAGTAATAGTTACATCGAGGGCAGCTGGGCGAAGTCGTTTTTTTTTTTCTTTTTAAGACGTTTCACCTCTCAACCAAAAGGCTTCTTCAGTTCTGGAACGGCCCTCGACGTAACTATTTTTGGACTATAAGTGGATGTTCTCACAAAAAACAAACAAAAAAACAGCAAAATGTTCTTCTTTGGCAAAAATAAAAAATATTACAAATTAAATTAAACTGACCTGCTGTGTAGCCCGTCCACCCTCACAATTGCCCCTCGCCCCCCACTTTGGGAACCATTGGTGAAGAAAACACAAATGACCTTCGTTTGATATCGACGAGGGAATAAAAAAAGGATCAGGATATTTCTGAGTTATTTGTTGTTCAGCTATAAATGTCTGGCTAAGATCCCAAATGATTTATTCATCCTTTGTGCCTCAGCAATTTATCACTTTAGCCACAAATGGATTTTGGAAGTGTTTAATTATAATGACATAACAACATTAGCTCTATAATGTGAGGACGAGCTGGTGATCCAGGCTATAAGTTCTAGCAGTTATCTTTGTGTTTTTATCATCTCCCATAGAGAGGTCACAGAGAGTTTATCAGAAAGACCAGGGACAGTCCAACGACCTGGTTGACAGGGGCAAGACAAAGGGGCAGGGGCAGAAACAGTAACAGGTGAGGAGGGTAACAGAAGGGTAACTGTTCAGAACACCTGAATATCCAGACATCTTTCAGATCAGCTGTCCATCACTGGTCCACATATAGAGACATACAACTATTCATCTCTATCCATACTTTACCAGATGGCCATTACTCATCCAGAACCACAGATCTGGAACGTAGAACTAGTTTTAGGCAAACAATTAGTTTAAAAAAATTTTCCTTTAGGTTCCAGTGCTGTGACATACAGTATGTGTCTGAAGAGTGTGGTGAATCCAGCATGCTGGTACTTTTTCTGCTTGGACTGTATAGAACCCACTGTTCCCCAGAGCAGTGCTTCACCATGTGCCTCTGTTGGGCTGGAGGTTTATTGTTCTTTGTTAGAAGCTGGCCAGGCATGGCTCTCCTGTAGAGAACCATAGAGGCTCATTATCACAGTTTTGGTGCAGCGTGTCCCACAAATATGGACACACACACACACACTGTTATTGTGTGTGTGTGTGTGTGACAGAATCACCAGTTACACTAACTGAGAAAATGTTCCAAGGCCATGGTTTTAACGATCTGACATCAACCTTCCACACGTTGAATGTTAAACCTCACCCTCAGTGTTACAGGGCTTCATGGAACACAAAGTCTCACAGTAAAAAAAAGGAAGGGAAACCGTCTCAGAACTGATGCAGGCAAAGCAAAGACAACGTTTTGCTCCAATGAAACTCGTAAATCTGGTAAATCTATGGTAGTGGAGAGGACGAGTAGTCAGGCGTTGACAAGAAAGAATTGACACACAAGTCATTTTCATTTAATGATCCCACTGTTGTTTCTGTTGGAAGTTTCAAAGTTCAACTGATTCTAGCTGCCGGTTATTCAGCTTTTACCCTAACAGGAAACAAGCAGCAACTTTTTAAAATAATGTACAAAGTGAGGCGAGCTGCCACATCTGAAAAAAAAAAAAAAAAAACAGTGCACAAATTAAACCATTTGTTTTAGGCATGTTTTGAAAGAAAATGATTAAAGATCTCCAACTGCAGGAGGTATGAACCTGGGAGACTTGTGGAAAAGTGGAAAAGTGTTTGTGTCCTGCAGCAAACACACAAGGGAGTCTCCACTCCCTCTACTGTCAGTTCACTGTTGGACTGTAGCTAGTGAGTCGCAGCGAAGGTTCCAGTCTGAGGACCTGAGTCTAAAGTCTCCTAATTAACAGTGACTGTTAATTAGGAGACTAATTAACAGTCACACACACACACAGAATGCTGTCTGTTCATGTTATAGAAACACGATCAAAATTGATTTAATTTAAAAAAATGTAAACATAAAAATGTTTTACACGTATTAATTGAGGATGGCATCACATCCTCAATTTCTTTTTTGCTAATGCTTAATAAGATCTCAAATAAATAAAGGTTTTAATCATCAGTCTGCAGCCTGAGTTTCCACTTCCTCCTCTAATTATTCTAACTGACCTTCAAGCACACACACGGTTCCTGTGTAAGAGCGTTGGTGATTTTCATCTAATTTTAACACAGCGATGATGAACAGTCTGGTGTTCCTCTCACCTCCGTGGCTTCATTCATAGCACATCATTTTTGCGTTCCCGTCGGTTGCTACGGACAACAGATCCGGTCAAACTCAGGTGCTCAGTATTTCAGGGAGCTTCTTGTGATCACTGCACCGACGTCTCCGTGTGTGAAGGCCTCTCAGCTCGGGCCTGGACTCCCGTGTCCACACAGTAAAATGTTGGTAATAACAGGCCACGGGTTTTATTAAAGAAAGTAATCCAAACTCCATCAGGGCTTGGCACAGCTCCACTCCACCGGCCCTAATGGAGCTGTCACAGTAAAGACTGAGCTGGTGATGGAATGATTATGTTGGTTTTTGGGTGTGTTTTTGACCTCCACCGCTGCTGTTTTTATGTCACTGTTTTTATGTTAGCAAGTTATGTTCCAGAGTGTGTTAAAATGTAATCATAATTTTTTTCAAAGAATCGATTGTTTAATAGTCCCATTAATCCTGGTTATCATCTCAGCATCATCAACTCCAGCTTAGCTTGGTCTCCTGTAGATAGATAGATAGCACTTCATTAATCCCACGGGAGCTCCCTTCAGGAAATTGTTGTGTTAGCAGCACATATGCTGTTATCAGGCTGCGCCCAGCAGGTGCCAGGCATGTGGTTCCTCTGGGTATGGAACCCAGGATTCTCTGCCGTCTGCTTCAGAGGCAGGCGTGCTAACGGCTACACTATGGAACCGAGCAGACGTCACCGTTCACCTTTAAAACAACATCATAAGTCAGCATGAAAGACAAATCACACACACTAATGACGCAGGTTTTGTACCAAAGTTGAAGGTTTTACCTGAGTGTTTGTACGGAGCTAAACAAACGTTTTCACTTCATTCAACAAAGGCTAAAAAAAAACAACTTAAGAGTTATTTATTTGAATGGGATTCAGAATGTCTGTTGACTTGAATCAGCGGGGGAGCAACAAAAGTGTGACCGTGGAAGAGCTGAACTTCAACTGTCACAATGAATATATTGTTATAAAATAGCTGCCACAAGTCTGACACTGACAACGACAACAACGTCAGCCTTTTACATTGATATTTGTTGGCTCTGTGGAAAGGCAGCTGGCTTTTAGGTCCAGTTACCAAAGTTATCCCTCCTGAACTAAACAAAATATCTTTGTTATATTGCCAAGGTCATAACAATGTTCTGTATAATTATGTTTCCTATGGGAATTTTTTTAATTTTTACAACCCCCAGGGCATTTGGCTATTGACATAAAACTTGTTTTTAACTGTCTAAAGGAAAAAAACAAACCACCAAACTTTTCAAAATTCTGCTGCCCTGTGTGAACTGACTTCCACAACAGGACACACACAGTCAGTCTGGTGGCTCGTTCCTGAGTTCCTTGTCTGTGACTGAGCATTATTTGAGTTGCCTCAGTCACAGCTGAATGTACTGTATATTATAATAACCTTTCTTTAAAAAAAAATTAAAACTCTGTGTCTTGGTATTTATGCATAACCTACAGATGTTCAACATCAGAATAAAGATTTTAACGCAGCACAGCTGTTCTAGGTATCTTCAAAACAGCTGGTCATCCTGCATTCTCAGCAAATTCATGTTGCGAGTTTGCAGAGAAAAGTCCAAATAGGAGGAAATACCCACTGGGTACTGAAAACTATGTCCTGATGCCAGCAGTCAGTGGAGATTTGTCAACTTACTATTCATTAGAGCCAAGATATGCAGAAGAGCATCTCTTGACTTGAAGCTAATGAGCAGCCGAGGAGCAGAGTGGAACTAAGAACGGGGCTGAGTCCAAACTTGGTTTAAGTGGACGACAGAACGCTGCCATTAACATGCATCTCCTGAATGCTCGAAGCGGTCACCTGGTCAGTCTGGACACTGTGTCAGTTGTGAAATCGACTTGTTGTCATCTGACCTGATGTTGAAGTCTGCACAGTGCAACAGTGTGTGTTGAGGTGGTTTTTAAAGCTCAGGTTGCTTTAAATCAAAGGTTCTTGTTGGCAGTGCGTGCAAATAACAACGTGATTGACTGAATTAGAGCAACGACAAGTGGAATTACTGGAGATGCAGCACATTTTATTCTGCTCATCTTATTAAAACCAAGACAATTTCCATTTAAGTATTTAATCATCTGATGTTGGAGTTTCTCTGTAATCTTTTCATTATCTTGAGGAAAGTTAACGTTTTTACACGTAGAAGTATAATGTTGATTTCTTTATGTTTAATTAACTTTTTTTTAATATACATTTACTGGGAATCCTACTGTTTTGGATAAAGTAGTTTGTTTTTTTTACTTTTACTTTTAACCTAGATTAGCTAAGCCTAATAAAACTCTGCTGCTGATAAGTGCTTCATCCTGTTAAGACTTGTGAAGAAGGCCGCAGCCGACCCCAGGTCACCGGAACACACGGACAACACGGAGACAATAAATACATATCATGTTTCAGTACAAGTACAGCCAAGTACAGCAGGACGCTGCGGCTCATACTTTGTCTGTAAGTCATTATGAATATTTCTGTAGATTCAGCTGATCGCTAATAAAGCGTTACCTCTAAATTTGAACACAACAGGCTAACTCTGTACGACACGCAGGGGCCAATGCCTGAACGTTTCCTGGATTCGGCGCTGCTTGTTCTCTCCGATACATTATTGAATTATCTCATTTTGAGCACCGAGGAGAAACGGAGCCCGTGCAACCGAAGCCCACTGAGGAGGAACAGCTGTTGTTTGTGCCTGGCGAGGTCAGCCAAGTAGATGGACGATCTAACTATAGTACAGTTGGACTTCATGGGGTTGCACTTGCAGCTCCTTCCAAAGGTTGGATGAAACCTGAAGCAGCGACCTGCTCATTTTGTGGTTTGTTCAAGTGTTAATGAAAAAGCAATCATATTGAAAACAATCTCCAAAGCCATAAAAGCTGTTTCTCTTCACACCCTCCATTCCAATCTTAACACTGCGTTTCCATCCGTAGATTTCTGGGAAATGTCCTGGAACCAGATCACAACCCGCTTCTTTGCCTCATCGAAGAACTGATGGAGTTTAAAACCTGCTGCAAATCATTTCAACAGGTTTCCATTTAGGCTTTGTTGAAAACGTGATCTTTCTGATTGTTTTGTCAAATTTTAACGATTGAAAAAAATGTTTTTTTTGTCATGTAATGAAGATGTAATAGCAAATCTGCTAAAGCCCTCGGATTTGCTCTTTTGTTTTATCTGCTGTCTGAAATCATCTGTTATCATTAGCATCTTGCACGTAAAATCCTTCGCAACACAATAAAGTCAAACTAAAATGATGTAAAACAGTGTTTATTACCCAGGTTATTAATCCTCCATTTACTTTGTTGGTCATAAAAGGTTGGCAGCAGGAAAAGATAACTGTCAGGAAAAGGTAACGGGAATATGAACCGTGTTGTTTATGAGCTACATGACACCACCGCAGTAAAACAAACCCATTTGGAAATGTATTTTATCTTATTTTTTTAATAATTTCCAAATGTGAACTTGAGACAAACCTTTTTTTTTTAATCAGCATCTTGGCAGAGAGTCAGAGGAAACAGTCTCTTCTGATGAAGCCGCTGATAGTAGAGAGGACCGACCTTCAGCCACCTCCAGCCAACAACAAACATCCTGCATCTGATGCAGCCGCTGTGTCTACGATTGTGTGAGTTAAAGATACCCCTAACCCTGGATGCTGACCCCTCCTCTCAAAAAATGAACTCTTCATCTTCTTCAGATGATAATGTCCCCGCCAGTCCTTTGTTATCCAGGTCCTGAATTTAACCCCAAGTGTTTTATATAATATGAAAATGTGAAAATATAATATGAAGGAGAGACAGCTTCAAATCTATCCTTACTAGTGCCTCACAACATGAAATGCCTTCTTACTAGAAGCAATTGTTTATCTTTAAGTCAAGTTTTCTGAAGAGAAGCCTGATCAAATATTTTTTCCTTACAGTTTCCAACGTACCTGCGAACCCAGGTCCACAGACCTGGACCACTAAGACACACCGATTTAACCACCACTAACACTGGCCTTGAGAAATACAGGTACCGTCAACAATTGGTCCTACAATTTGACAAGGGGGGCGGGGTCAGGAGCAGAAAGATGGCATGTAAAAGTCATGCAGAGGCTAAAATGCTAAAATGCTTTTAGCCTTCTCCAGGCCATCTATAGGGAAAATGTAGGAATTGCAGGGTAAAGGCAGAAGTATAATCACAAAACAAACCAATTATAGAATTTGAACAAGTTTGGTGCACCGGATTACAAAGCTGAACGGGCCACATCCGGCCCCCGGGCCTTAGTTTGCCCATGCCTGGTCTAAACTCTGATCATGGGAAACAATGAGTAATATTTTAAATGTTATGTGCAACGATCATTTTTACTTGTTCAGCAGCAAAAGACGCAAGGGAGTTCTCTGTTTAGTCTGTTTGTTATTTATTTTTTCCAGAACTCTGTGACGCCTTACTTCAGCACTATTTGTAAAAAAAAAAAAAAAAAACAGCTGAGCTCACAAAACAGGTGCAAAAACAGGTACAAAACAATATCAGCACCAACCTCAGGGTTTTTGTTTATTTTTATTTAAATCTAAAGGTTGTTAGAATTCCTAGCATGGCTAACACGAACCCTAGTTTCTGCTACAAGTTTCTCCCCATTTATATGTAAGTCTCTCCAGGGCGAGGAATAAACTGTAGAAACATCAGTCATTCAGTTCACAACCTTTTCTGTTGAAGCCAAGCGCAGAGACATAAGACGGTACAGGCTCTATAATCCTGGGGAGGTACTTCAAAGTACTCTCTGCAGTCCTTCCTGTCACTAAAATACTCCTTAGGAAACTTGAATGGTCGAGAAAATAACTTTAAAGGGGAATCAGTTACTCTTGAACGAGGTAACAAACTGTGTGTGGGTGTTTGTGCGAGGGAGAGAGAAAGGAATATATAGATGGAGAAACTTGCTATTCTCTAATTGGTTTCTTTTAATTATTATCTGTTGTTGCCATAAATAGTTGCCGTCTGTGCCTGTGGTAGGAGTGTATTAATAGAGCGCTGAATATAGATGTGTTTATTGTAGATGTTATTTGATAAATGACTAAACTGTTGAGTAAAACAAGTTGATTTATACAGTTGAGCTTTTTAACTTTTAACTTTTTTTTCAGCATTTCTGACATTTACCTTGTTTTGTCTTTTTGTTTTTCGACCTTTTTCCCCCTCAACGCTGCCCTGCTTTAAAATAATGATTGTTTAATATCCATCACAGCTTTGTGCAGCTGTGAAATGTCAAGATGGCGTTAATAAAGTTCTTGACATTTGACGACTATTTAAACCCTTATTGTATTACATTTCATTTTCATCTCTCCCTCCAGAGGAGCGTCCTACGTTGCACTTTGAACACTAGACGGCATTTATAAAACTCCACTAATTATTTTGTTCTCACAGGTATAGGCAGAGAAAACTCTCACAGCTTAAAGCCTACGTTCACAGATAACCCCCGCAGATTAAATTTTAGCTAAACAACTGCAGCTCGTCTGTGGGAGGGGTTTAAACACGGAGCTATTTTCTGTTCCTCTTGTTGAATTAGTTTTTTTTTTTTTTGTGCGTCTTCCTCTCTCTTCTCCTGCAGTGGTGCAGTGATAAGAATCTTGCCTGCTTTGCGGTAGGTCGCAGATTCAACTCAACCCAACTCTGCCTTACCACCAAACAACAACAGTGTCAGTTTGGCTACTAACTCTGTGGTAACTTTTGTTAAAAGGAAGTGTGCAGCTCCCATTTTCCAAACCACTCACACCAAGATTATACAGCAGCCTGTCAATGAAATATTTTTAATTGTAATTGTGGTTTCATAATGAATTTCATTCATGTTTTAATGAGACGTTTAGTTTTGAAATGATTCAGTCATGAATTATTCAGCCGTTCACTCCTTTTAGCACATGGCAGATGCCTCAGTGTTATGATGTCACTGTGATCGGTCTTACACGTGGCAAAGTTAAGTGATGCTGTTTGGTGTAAGTCTTCAGATGCCTTTTGCTGGGGGTGGCTCTCAGTTTGTTCATAAATAAATCGTTTTTATTTTTTGACATATGGTGACTTTATCACTCAGGCCTGTTTGGCCAAAAATGTGTTTTAAAGTTAAAAAAAAAGTATCGTAGTGCTGATGCTGAAACTGATGCAGATTCTAAAGGAACATTGTGCTCTGTTTTTAAAATTCATTTTTGCATAACCTGCTGTTTCAAATTTGAACTGAGACATTACTTTCCTAATAATTAAAAAGGAGGAGATTTCAAAAAAGTTCCAGTATTATAATTATTATGAACTGGTGTAATTGATTTTTACCAGTAAAGTGCTAAGTACACTCTTCTCCTGTGTTATTTGACTATATTTATTAGATGAGGTACATTTTGTCTTCCTCAGAATCCAAATCAGATTTTCACTGTTCCTGGTGAAATAAAATGAGAATGAATGGAGCAGATTTGCACATCCATTAGTCAGACAATGGGACTTGATCAATGGGGTTTTGGAGATGATCACTGTCCTCCTAATAAGGATGTAGTGGATGAAAGAGAATGAGCTGAATTCTGATGACACGCAATAATAAAACAGAGCAGACGTTCTCCTCATTGATGTTGTCAGCCCATTGTAGTCCATAAGTGTTGATTGGTGCAAATGGGTCTCTCCTGTGAAACGAGATGGTTTTCCTCTCTGAGCTGCAGGCCAACTCCCCATGAATAAACAACAGACTACTTTTTTTTTTTAAATACACCATTAAACCACTTGGAGTGTGAGTGAGGTGAACCTATGTGGTACAGGTGGTAAGTTAAGTTTATTAATTATAAGGACTGAGCGTAACATGGGATACATTTTACTTTAAAATCTATTTGACATTAAATTAACAAATTAACACTACATGCAGTACAGTGTGTGTTACGATTAGCCATATGTATATATGTAAATATATACACACATATATATATATACATGAAATTGCTTAATAGTTATATCAATTTTTGAACTGTATGTATATTACATTTCTGGCCATTTGAAAACTGGATATTGACCAACATCTGATTAAATTTTTTATGAATAATTCAAAGGAAGCCTGTGACAAACGTTACATGTTTCTTTTCATCCCTGTCCAAAAAACCTCTCATCCACTCAAAAAAGTCATTTTTTTGGTAATATTTTCCATTAAAGAACCCCCCCACCCCCCCACCCTGCAGTGACCCCACTCTTTTACGACAGTCCATCTGCTCTCTGCTTCTATCTCATTAACTCCTGCTCATTTTACTGTTCAGATAGAGCACAGCCCAGCTGCAGCGTTCTGCTTCTCTTCCTCTGTTAATCACCTGTTTTGTAGCCCCAGCATTTAAAAATTATTATTATTATTTTGAATTTGCCAGATGTCACTTATTGATTATTGAAGACCACTCTGACACAAACGTACAGTTAGACATATGCTGTAACTATTACAGGTCAAGTAGGGCTGGTGTGTGGGGGTGTGTGAAAAACAAAATGGTGCCTGGAATTCAAATGGGTTCACCTGAAATTACTAGTAATTGATTAAAAAAATACTGATATTTTTTACTAATTGAAATGAATTAGTGCGATTAAAACACCATACACACTTAAATAACTGTATTCTTTCACTTTCATGAACATAAATCCAGTTCAACTAAAATGACACAAAGCTAACAAACAAACATGGTAGCAAACAAAAACGAATTTAAAAAAAGTCTCTTTATTATCACCAGCCAAATAAAATATTGGAAACGAATAAAAACCAGCCTCTCATTTACACAACACGTTATGACAACAACCTGTATCATGTTGTCTCCTATTTGTTCTATGCTAAATGAAAAAAGAAAAATATTTAATTGTTGACTAGCATCAGGCTATGTCCATGCTAATTGGCGGGCTGTCCAGACCTGTACACGTCATTTATCAACCAATCACCGCTCGTGCAGCCACATTAGTGCAGCTGTTGCCTAAGTTAAAAGGTGTTGCTCTAGTTCTCTCATCTTCATGCGCTGAGCTGAACCTGAACCACAAACACAGCGCCCCCTGCACTGGTGGCTGCATAATTGGATTAATTGGATAAATGGTTGAAGGCAGTACATGTCTTTAATTCTGTTATTTCACACGTTGTCTGCTGGATGGTAGGAGTGAGGGGGGGTGGGGGGTCCTGAGACTTTATATGCAGCCGTGACCAGGGTTTAATGCGTTTGTGAGAAAACTGTTGGGAGAATGACAAGAGTGCGAATGGAAAAATATATATTTAAAGATAGAGGGTAGGACACAGTGTGTGTGATTGGTGGTGCGGACCGTGTGTGTGTGTGTGTGTGTGTGTGTGTGTGTGTGTGTGAGTGAGAGAGAGAGAGAGAGAGACGGAGGGTGGGGGGTGGCTCCTGCTTTTACGCACAGACTCGGATTCACTTGCAGCGCTGCTGCTCTGAGCTCACACAGCAGATGAGTCGGTTCCTCATGACTTACTGTCCATGGTATTTTCTAACTCACTGCATTGACCGGGACTCCCGCTGACGCGTCAGTCACACCGGAGATTCGATACATAGACGCAGGAGAACCGACCCTGAGCGCAGGGAAAGTTGTGATCGTCAGGATGGAGGTTCCTGTCTTCATGTTGTTGATACACTTGACCCACACTGAAATCAAAGGTAGGAGAAGGTCACACTGCGCACTACTCGTAAATCTAATTCAGTAAATAGTACAAATAAAATACCAAATATCATCTGTTCTTGGAAATGTAATATTTTCATCCAAATATTTTTTTTCCCGATGATGCGTGAGATTGTCTTAGCATCTAATTGTTTGACATCTATAATGAGATTGACAGTTGTGCTGCTATAATGGACATGTGGATGGACATGTGGACCGCCTTTAGTCGTTTAGTTGTAGTAAATTGTCTTCTTCGGTGTCTGTGGACTTACAGCTGATGAGTCCTGTTGTCATAAATAAAGCTGTGTGGAAGTGTGTCCAGTAGTAAGCATTGTAAACACACACACACACATTTCCCACCGTATTATTATTATTATTATTATCATTATTATTAGCAGAGCCCAGACCTCCCTGTGTGATGTTGTTCAGTTTAATTAATTATAAGATGAGATTAAACACCTCTGTCTGTTGGATTTGGCTGTTTGGTCAATAGATGAGAGCCGAGACGGTCAATGAGGCTGAAGTAACAACAAAACATGGCTTAAATCCTTGGTTAGAATGGTCCATTATTCTCTTGGATATATCAGGTTAATAGAGAAAAAGAAATACATATATATTTTGTATTATTATATTTAAATATATCTATAAATATGTGTGTGCATTTATATATATTTACATATACATATATAAATATTCGGTGTATATATTATATGCATATAGATATAGTCTATATATATTCTTGTTAAAGTTCAAAGCTGACCTGCATGTATAATTGATATACATGAAACATATCCAGTATAAAATTTAAATGAATCCAAACTATATCCATATATATACTACACTATATATTCTTTTTCATTCCTTACATCATGTGTATTCATTAGGTCTTGGTTAGTTAAAGTTGTAGCTGTTATATAGTAAAGTATGTGCTAATTGCTGTCACTGTGTGTGTGTGCGTTGTGTGTGAAATGTATCGATTACTGCCCTGACGTCTGGACAGTTAGTCATTTCTGCAATAAAATTGCAAATAGAAATTGAATAATGGCCTCGTTCTCGACATGGAAAACCAATACGTTCGACAGATTTACAGTCTTACAGCCTTAGTCATGCTGTTCTTTGATTCAGACTAATTAGAATTTAAACACTGGGAAACCACGTATGTCACGAAGTCTTTACTCCTGTCAGTGCTGAACGAAAATGGGACTTAGAAACATAAATATAATGCACTTTCACTCTGAACCTCATTAGTAGAACATAGGCTATGAGTCACAGGCTATGAATGAACAAAACTGAAACTGAATGAAAGGAATGGGAAGCCAGAGTCAATGTTTAAAGCACATGTGTTGTGGAGATGATATGGAGTTCTGAACGACTGACCTCTCTGAGTGCATGTCAACCCCTCAGAGACTAATAACCATGACATTCCTCTCCCATCAGTGTAACACAAGGACGTAACGTCTGTGATGGATGTTGCAGAATTTTTCCGGCTATTTCTCTTTGGGAGTAATCCCAGAACACACACGATAAAAATTAGTTTTTACAGTGTTGATAGTGTTATTTCAACCTCTTAATAACTTCTCCTGACAGACAATTCCCGTCGGATTTCAACCGCGCAAGTATGTCACAAGTTTGGCCTGTTGTCAGTCAAATATTCTTTTAGAGACAGTGTTACCAAAGACCTGGATTTAGACTAGATTAGCAGAGATTATTGGGATTTAGGATGTTATCCTTTTCACAATACAACAGCGTGCCGCAATGCTAGAATGAAGATTTAGAGGGTTGTACATCAACTAAGTCTTGGCGATTCAGTCTGGTCATCACAGTAATCTGATTTGGTACATTATTTATGACTAAATAATGCAGGCACTCAGAAGAGCTTGTCTAAGACGCTGATCCTTGATTTCAAAGTTCAGAAGGACAAACTGTCACACTCTGCCCAAAGGCAACACACTTTAAAGTTTTTGAATCTGTCACTTAGAGAACAGATATGAATATATTATACTTTAATATTAAATAAAAAGTCAAACTCATGTGGCTGCAGTTTCTGTTTAGCTTATCAACAGTCCCAGCAGTCAGTTCAATTATCCTCCTGTTTTAACCCTTTAATGTCTCCTCTCCTCGTATCTGAAGCGGTGTATTTTAAAATGCTTTTCCGATGCATGCCGGGTGGATCTCTCACTGTTCATAGAAGAAATTATAATTTTCAAATATAATTTCAACCAATGTCATCAACAAATCACAAATCCCGCTTTGGTGTATTATTGAAATGTCACATTTATTGTATGAAATTTAATGGGTATTATGACCTTATCTTCCCAACTTTTCCAAATATCTTTCGTTTCATGCCTGATGTAAAAATATTCCAAACCTAAAAACAATTTACTACTGACATTGACTTTAATAAGCTACACTTGCACGTTTTCAAGTATGTAGCTGAATGAAGTATCCCTTGTTGAGAGTTTCCTCACCTGTTTTCAGCCCTGGCACATACTGTATTTTTCATTTAAAACACCTCAGTATATGTCATGAAATATGATAATATTTTAGTTTGAATTTACTGAGTGTGCAATGTCTGCCTGTTTGGTTGAAGACAATACTGATACACCTGCAGGAATTGAAGAAAGATCTTATTCAACAACTCTTTTTTTTTTTTTTTTAGTTTTTGTAGCCATCTGCTGCCATCTAGTGGAAGAGTATTTAAAAGTTGTCTGTCACTATGCATTGACGAACAAAGAAAAATGATTTGCAAAAGTCTCAGACCACGGCCTGGTCGGGAATCACTGCCTTAGTTTACACCCTGCAAAGAATCCATGCCGTCCTGTTTAATGGGGTCTGTACGTTTTTCTTCTTCCGTGCTGACCTGTCCAGGGTTTCCTCTGCCTCTTGACCTGTCCTGCGTCCTTCAAAAAAAATAAAGCAGCTGATGATGAATGAGGGAGTGATTTTTGTCCATCTGGACACGGAGTTGTGATGTAAGCATCCTCTGCTCTGGACAAGTAACAAAGGCTGACAGGATTTCACTCTAAATCACTTCTTGGCCTCTTCACTTTTCTTCTCTGTCAGTATATCTTGGTGAACACTAACCTGCTGCCTGATCCTCTCTAAATGTGTCATAACCAATTAGTTCAACTGCTCAAATAGATGATAGAAAAATAATAATTGAAATGTCTACGGATGTGGAACAAACACGCCCACCCACATAAACAAACGTGCTGATTTATGTACATGCTGCCAATACACGGCCTAAACCTGCAGCCACTACCATCAGAGTCAGTGACTGTAGAATATAAACCCACACATGCGACAACACCACCTACACTGGAGAGTAGAACAGGAGCTGCGGTTGTATTATGTGCAAGGCAGTGAAAGACGGCGTGCTGTATGTTAGGTTTTAAAGCTGCTTTTGCCTTTGTGAGTTTTTTGTCTGCTCCGAACGGTTGCTTGTTATCATGGTATGGTGTGAAAACAAATTTTAATCTCAGATGTTTTTGTTTCAGTCGGTTTTTTTTTGTTTGTTTTTTTTCCCTGAGTTTTGTACCCAGTGTGCTGCTTTTGTCCCTGTGTGCGCCGTGTGCTTCGTCATTGCTCCACTCAGCGTCCAGAGGCTCAGGCTGTCACCATTCATAATGCAATGCATTCTTGCTCATTTGTCATCATGCCACCTCTGTTCTCCATCATTTTCATCTCTTCCCCACTCCTCCACCCCCCAGCTGTAAACCACCATGTCCACTTTTATCAGAAAGTCCCAGTTTTACCACTTTAATCTCATCTCAGTATATTTATGGAAGTTTCCAGCAAATGAAACAGAGGATTAATCATTTTGTTTTTCATCTAACATTCATCATGTATTGGAGTTTAAATTAAAGTTTTACACATCAAAAATTAGCATTTGTGATTCTGTGCAATCTTTTTTAATAATCAGCCTAACGTTATCAGTTTAAACAGCTGATGATGTTCCTGTTTAATCCAGTCTTTCCTTCAAGTCTTTAGACGAACCTCCTTTTTGTCGCATGATATTCAAACTTGTTATCTTCAAATCATGGAACGTTTCACAATCTCACTTTTCCTCATTGTAATCTAAAAATGAAAAAAGGTCAATTGTAATGTAAAAAATAAAGTCACATGTTTTCATTTTGATTTTAAGTATAGAGCAGGCTTGGGCACGTGGGACATTTTTGTCCTAAAATTTGACAGGGAGGCCGGGTCAGGAGCAGATAGATGAAGTGTTCGTGCAAATCTTTGAGCCATCTATTGGGGAAATGTTGGTATTGCAGGGAAAAGGGCAGAAGTATAATGATAATATAAACAAATTGTATACCGTAATTTGTAAAGGTTTGGTGGGCCGCATTAAAAAGCAGAACGGGCCACATCTGGCCCCCAGGCCTTAGTTTGACCATACCTGGTATAGAGTAAAGTAATATCTGAAAACTTCAGAGCCTTTTTCATGTAAAGTTTTTGACTATTTCAAGAAATTTAGATAGGAGGATTTGTTTTTTTCTTCTTTTTCATCATGACACCTCAGATAAAGGAATAGTCCCAGTCCCACGGGTGAAGAACTATCGTACTGTACCTAATCTTTAACAACAATACCGATTGTTTGGTTGTGGTTGTTAAGTTTCACTGTTACGCACTGTTACGTCAGTGTTGTTGCTGCTTCACTGTGGAGCTGTTTTTTTGATGCAGTAATTGTAGAACCTGAATGTAAAAGACGTGAGTAAGGAATCATTCCTGTCCGACTGTGAAACAAAAGGCACACTCCGCTAATGACTGTATTGGCTTGAGGTATCACCATGGATTGTTTGCTATTTTTCTTATGCTCATGTGACGCAGAGTTGAGGACCCCAACAGCACTAGACTCCATAGGATCCATTCTAATATACCAACACAGTGTGTTTCCAAACAGATTCAGAACAACATTTGTCTAAATCTGGGGCGGGGGGCTCCGCTGCTGCCGCTGTCATTTCCTTGGAGGGCCACATCCTTATCCTAGGGTTTTAGAAAAAGTATTTGTCTTACTTACAGTAAATACATGATACTAATATATTGCAAAAAGCTAGTAGTATGTACAGTTTATAATAACATTCATAATAAACTATATATAAACCTAGTCATGGGCCAGACATGAGAAGTTCTTGGGCCAGAAATGTCCCCGGGGCCAGGAGTTTGAGACCCCTGGTTGGTGGTTTATTAGAGTTAATTCTACGGAATCTACTCAAATGCTTGAAGTGTAATATGGACATATGGACACAAACTAAAGGGAATAAATCAGGTCAAATGAAATCAAAGTAAAGATAAGAATCCTGTTGTGTTTTCTTGTTTCCCATAACACTGTAACTCCTGTCCTCCTCACAGTGACGGTGTTAAATCCTGGAGATGGTGACACTGTTTTAAACCCACTACACGAAGCCCAGAAAAACTGCTTCTGGGTATGGCGTACAGGTTGTCTGTAGACCAGGACCAGAGTAATGGTCCCTGTGACCCTCACCGAGACTTGTGTTGTCTGGCAGCCAGTGATGAGGGATTTGTTTTACTGCTCTGGCCCTGGATGGTCTGCCGTAAATTAACTGTCAAAGGAGGTCTTCGTGCCAGATTTCGCGGCCGACTCATGCTTGTGATGTGTGAGGCGTTAATAAATTATTATGAAAGGTTTATGTTAAATCTTCTTGAGAAGTGAGGACTAGTTCTGTTTTTGCTTGTGTCCATCTGTTTCCCCTACACTTTTATTTATTTGGCAACTGTGCGTTAGATGTGTTGATTTCAACCGTCGTTATGGTTGCGTCACGGGTCTTTATTGCTGCTCAGTTACTGCCATTTTTAGCTATTTCCATCCATCCAACCTCTGTTTTTCCTGTTACTAGTCGGTGGGAGGGCTGGAGCCAATCCCAGACATCTAACATCGGGCGAAAGACAGGCTGCACCATGGTCATGACTGCAGTGTGTGACATGACCAACAGACAGGCAGAGATAGTTGGGTCTACCTGATTCCCAAATTAGGAAATACAGCATGAGGGCAGAATGGTACAGTTACAGTGAAGACACAGGTGGAAATACAGCAGCAAAGGCAGCAACTTCAAAAGAAACACGGAATATCAAAAATGTGGCTAATTAATCTAGCATCCACTGTAATATCAGCAAAGACACGACCAAGCAGAAAATATGAAACATCTTTTTTTTTCATGAGGACCAATGTACCTTTGCAGAAATAACCATTTTTAATATGTATTTCTATAGAAAAAATAAAAGATACTAGAAGTTGAGGTGGCCGTGTTGATATGCAGTGACACTGCCCCCTACATTCATTTTCACCTTTTTCTTTTTACATATTGTTCTAAGTAGTAGTTGCAGCCATATGGGCTGTGAAGTTCACACTCACAGCCCATATGCGGCGGCAGTAGCTTTGAGTCGCTCAGTCAACAGAGCAGAGGAGGTGAGGAGTGAAGGAGGTTTTTGATGGATGGAGAGCAAAGAAAAACTCAAGTTTAAAAGTTGATGCAGTCAAACCAAGCAACTTGTTAAAAAAAAGAAACATGTGTTGTAAAAAATAGTTTTTAACGTTTATAGTTCCTGTTTTCTCTAAATGAATTTTTCCTACATCTGTGAGCCCATTTTAATTTATTGTTGTAAATTCCATCGTTTTGGTAACATGACCTTTTTGTTTTACGTTTTCTTTTTTTCTCCCGAAGTTTGTATTTTTACAAGAGCAAAGAAATGCATTATGTCAATGTGAAGAGCTCACACAACACAAAAACCACTGTGTATCTATCTCTCTGTGTGTAAAGTAATGAAACACAGTTGCAGTTTTAGCTTTTCTTAATTTTTATGTTTGACTTCCATGTTAGGTTGACCTCCCTGTTAATCTCACATCACTTGTTTTCCATCCATCCATTGTCATCCACTTATCCATTACCAGGTCGCGGGGGCAGCAGCCTCTATGACCACCACCCAAATCCCACTGCACTGTACCAACCCCCCTGAACCTTCCTGTGGGTGCTGAGTCCACTGGAAGGTACCCACCGCCCTGACTGGGATTCGATCTTGCCCAGGAGGGGAACCCTGGGGTTCTACACCATTTACAGAGAAATTGCCTCTGGGCCAAAGCGTCACACCTCACTTGTTTTGTCTTTTCTTTCACACTTGTGTCCAGTTGTCCCTCCAGTGTCTCCACTGTCCTGCTGGGTATCCTCTCTCCTTAATTACCAACACCTGCCACACTTGTGTCTCGTTATCTCCCTTTAACCAAGTCTCTTTGGTCTGTGTGTGTGTCTGCAGCCTCACGTCCTGTGAGTTTCGTTCAATTTATTTTGTTTTTGTCTTTTCCCGTGCACTGAATCGGAGGAACGTTATTTTGAAACCATGTTCCTGTGTGTGTCACTGGAAGGCTGACAGACGCATCCGTTTTTGGGGTTATGTCCTTATTGCAGGCACCATTTTGACGTTCATGTCCTGACATTCTTTTGTGCTGTGTTGATTTTTTTTTAACCTGTCAAACTGGAGTTGGTGCCTCGGATGTCTTTGCCTCTGTCTATGTGTGAGAAAACAAACACACCAGATAGAGAAGCAAACACTTTCCACATTGATGTTTCGGCCTCTTTAATGGCCGATGGTAGGCTGACTCAGCTCAAACTGTTTGCTCTCACAGTGCCACTGGGGCTTTAGTTGTCCCCGGTTAGAGAACCCTGTTGCTCAGTAACATTCCCTCAGTATTCTTCTTTGTAATCTTACTCCTCTTCACTGTGTTTCTTCCTCAGCCCTGTCGAGCAAAGTGGAAGCAGAGGTTCGATGCCCCTTGGGGCAGTTCCCGTGTGGGAACTTGAGTGAGTGCCTCCCCCAGGCTCTGCAGTGCAACGGACACAAGGACTGTCCCAATGGAGCGGACGAACGCCGCTGTGGTAAGAGTGAATATAAGAACTAAGAAGATGTTCTTCTTCATTTGATTCAAATAACAACATGACTTTTAGCCCCGTTGCACAAGACTGCTTTCTAGTTTGAGCTTTTAGTAGTGGGCGGATAATAATAATAATAATAATAATAATAATAATAATAATAATAATAATAATAATAATAATAATAATAATAATAATTGAGTCATTTGTTTGCTCCACTATGAGGAAACTTACAGTTTGAGTATTTGCAGCCAACACATCTGCCACAGGAAGCACCACTAGGGATACGTGGCGCCTCTGGGAATCGAACCCAGAACTTTCTGTTATGCAAGGCAGGCGTACTGACTACACTAGGGATATTAACAGTATTTTTGTTGTCACGATGAATTAGTTTCAGCTTCAAAACAACAATAGAGTCTGTTTTGGCAATTAAACGTAGCTCAAGAATCTACCTCAGTTGATAAAACTCTTTGTCCTTAAATCAGGATTTGAATGACCTTTGACCTTTGACGCATGTTATTAATAAAATGATGACCAACATCATTTTATTAAACTAAAAAACAAACAAACAAACAAAAATATACAGTAAATGTATATATTTGTATATAGTGTTCCATCACAGGTTGTTCCTTTGAGGTAATTTAAATGTGTTTTCCTGAGTAACAGAAGCTTTCCACTCAGTTTCATGGAGGTTTTATTGCCTGAGCGGTAACGTTTTATGTCACTGCCTTTTATGGCAAAGCATCAGTGGTCAAAGGAACCAGACATGGGAGCCTGATGGAAGTGGGAGTTGACCCTTGAGGCAGAATCCATGTCTTATACTGGCATCAATAAATCAGGAATGTTTGGAGAGAAATCACCCACATTTTATCAAAGCCAGGTCATGAACTTTGTTGAGGTGTGGCAGAAAATCCTTTCTATTTAAATGACAAACATATACAGAAACGCTAATATAAGGATTTAACAGAACAAACATTTGTCGGTGGCCTTTATCTGTGAGATAATAGAGGGAAAAACATAGGCAGTTCCACCAAAAATTAAGAAGTAAATGGTATAGATATTTGGTATTTGATTGTACATGAAAGTATATTGGCTTATTTTGAAGCTGTTGACTTTGAAAACAGAGTCCTGATGCCGGGGACAGATACAGATTCCTGTATTTTAAGAGTCCTTCAAGGGTCTAAATATTTGCTCAAAGTGTGGTAAAATCAGCCTAAAATTGAGAATTTTCCCCCGTCCAGACTGTCCAGTTTTTCTTATTTTATTGCCTCTTCAAGCTTGACATTGCTTTGGATTTCCTCTATGGAATTTCATCTGCCTTCCCCTGACGTTTACACTGAATTTCAGTCTGTTTGTTTATTCTTTTTGAGTTTCCATTTCGACCTCTGCTATGGAGTTCATGTTTCATCAATTGATCAGCATTGTCCAATTTTCCCTCGTGCATAAGAATTTGATTACAGTTCTGTGGTGTACTGGCTCATGACATAAGCAATTTGACTTTAACCTTGGGAGATATGCTCACCATCTGAGTATTTTATTTTTGGTGACCCTCCTAAATGTCTTTCCCAGCGCAGGCACATACAGTATTTTCATTCGCAGGAAACAGTTAGAAGAATTCCTACGGCTCGTCCCAGACTTAAATAAAATTTACCATAATTAAATCAAAAACACAGGGACAAACAGCTCTTCAGAGAAATGCAGTCATCCAGAGCCTGGAGTGTCCTGTTGTCCTTGGCCATATAGTGGAACAGTACAGACGAGTGGGAAAAACTCTCCTCCCTTTCCAGCAAAAAATGACGTGAACACAGATTGACACTGACAGCACGGGCAGCCCAGGAAAAATGGAGTACAAATGGGCAAAGTAGAATATCTCTGTCACATTAAGATGTAACATTTTATTCGCTGAGAAATATCGCTCCAGAGTTTCTGCCACTAGTCCATAGCCTCCACCGCCCACGGCTGATTATCAGCCACCTCTCTTCTCCTAATTCACATTTTATTTTTTTGTCATTTCCAGCATCCTTTCTCTGGATTCCTTTTCATCCTCCTGGGTGGTTGCACAATCTCGAGTATATTTTGTGAAATATATCCACTCTCTTCGTCCTTGCTGCTCACTCCCCATCCAGATATCACAGATTTGAACTCCCACCGCCTCCAGCTCAGCCTCTGGTCTTTCCTCCATCTCTAAACTATACACGTTGACACCTTGTTCACCTTGCCTTTCATTCTTGGTACTATTTGTCTCCTGTCAATCATCACTCCTGACCTCTGCTCCGTTCAGCTTCACTCTGAAGAGCTCCTCACTGTCTTTTCTCCACCGTCTGTTGCCACAGATACTGTGGTTACCCTCAGGTTTAGTCACCTTTTCTTCCCACCTCATTATTTTCACCTGCACTTTCTGTAACATATCATCGGACTGGGATAAAACCCAGTCAAAATTTGATCTCAACTTTTAAATTGTTTCTGTTAACATCTTGGTCTAAACCAGTACTTCTCAAATAGTGGGGCGAGCCCCCTCAGGGGACGTGAGGGGCTTCCAATGGAATAATACTGGACACAAGTGTACCACTGCTGTAATATTTGAATGATAACAAGCCTCCAGTCACTAGGTGGCAGCAACGCATACAGTGGTTTGTACAGATCAAAATATACATGTTATCAGGTTCTCTATAGTATTTCAATTTGTTCAATTAGTTTTCTCTTTGGGAGTTTTCCGAACCATCATCTGTGCAAAGCTTTTGTTCTAGTATGGGGTCAGGAAAATAAATAAATAACTAAACAATAACTGTATACATGGCCTTTTTTGTTTCTTTTTTTTTGTACACTGCACCATTTAGATTACAGTCTCAGTAACTCTGTTAAAATAGATCTGTGTTTGGTCCAGTCCAGTCTTTGAGTCTTTTTATGGGATGGGCCTGAACCATTTTCCTAAACCCATATAAAATATTTGTATTTATTTCATTGTGATTTAAGACCACATTCAGGAGCACTTAGACCTGGACTAGTTAATCCATCATGACTGATGTTATCAGTCTGTACAGGATCTCAAATGATGTAGTAGTACGAGTGGCAGTAGTAGTATTTTTTTTCTCAAAGATAAAGCAGTTTCTTCCTTATTATCCAGGTCAGGGCATGAATCGGTTTCAGCCTTTGTGTCCTTTTGTCACTGTGCTAGTAACTGTGAGTCCTTTACTTTTCTATCCTCCTCAGGCTGTCTGTCCTCAGAGCCAAGCTCACTGCCATGCTTTGCATCATGGGCATAATGACAGTTGTAAAAAAAAAAAAAAAGATAACCTGACTCTCTCTCTCTCGCTCTCTCTTCTCGTTTTTGTTCCCTGTGTGGCTGATCTGTATGTGTGCATTGGCAACTGTCCGACTAACATGATTTACAACAAGTGTGTTAAACATATGGCCCGCGGGCTAAAAACGGCCCACTGGAGGGTTCAATCTGGTCCACTTGATGAATTTTGAAAGTGAAAAAATGCACCAACACTTCATGTTGTTGATGTTTTGACAAATAAAATTTCATTGAATATGTAAGTTTCCAACCTGAAGGCTGCGACTGTCGCTCCTAATTCAACTTGTGTCTTCTGAACAGTCTACTGTGTACTGCAGTAACTGGAGACTTGGCTCAGCAGTACCTGCTGTAGTACATACACTCTGGACAGATGAAGACGAGTGCTCTTCCTCTTTGATTCCCCCATTTCTTTATGATCGTGTCTGTGTTCTATAATGAATGTGAACCATGATGGATAATACTGCAGTAGAACCATCACTGCTCCTACCCCCCCCCCCCCCCACACACACACACACACACCCCCGAAGATGAATATTCTAATATAACGCTCTCCTTCCGTTCTCTCGTTTCCTCTCCTTTCCTTTCAGCGCTGCCTACGTGACCTTTTCACCTCCTCTAGACTAAACACCTTCAAGGAGTCTGTCTCTCTTTTTTTTTCTGAAACTCAAGCAATTACTTTGTAGCCTAGAGAGATGGCGCTGCTGTTGACTGATCTTGGACCAGCCTCATCAAAAAGGACACACACAGTCTGGTTTTCATGAGTTATGAGGACTTCACACAGACATATTGCATTCTCCAAACCTTTATCCTAACCTCAACCATACCTATGACGCATGTTATTCCTTACGCTAACCCTAACCCTAACCCGGTCCTAATTCTAATCCTAACCACAAACTCTATACCCTCTGTCCATTTCAGGGCCGGAAAATGTTCCCACCAGGTCAACTGGTCCCCACAACCAATCATTTACTGAAGAAATGTCCCCACAAGGATACCTACACCTAGAACACACACACACGTCAATCAAAATGATTCATACCTTTGTGAAATTGTAATTAGGTCTTGGGTTTGGACGGGCTGACATGGCTGACCTGAGCCTTGGTGTTATCTATGGTATACATTTCCTTATGTTTATGTGGCATCAACTGTCGGATTCACTACGTGTGTGTATGAGAAGACGAAAATAGACTAACACCAGGTGAAAAAAATTGTTTTTCCTTCCTGGGCAACAAGTGTTTGCGCTGCATAATGTTCTGTCCTACTTAGCTTTAGCTGTAGGTGTGTAGATTGTGTGTCATAAACCACGTCACAATGTTCACGCCTCAGCACACAGGCGGAAAGCCAGGAAGAAATCCGTGCAGCGCTGGGTAGTCCTGAGTGGCAGCTGACTGGAAGCAGGGCTTAGTTAGTTCTGACTGGGTGTTGGCGTGTTTGACGAACCGCTGTGGATGTGCCTCACGGGGCTCAGTCAAGTCTGTGGTCATTTGAACATCTCTGTGTAAACCAGAGGTATTTGGATTTGTCCCACCTGTGACCCGTACAGTCAGAGAATGTTTTACTAACTGCAGTAGCAGGTGAATGTAGTCATTTTTTTATTGGAAACAACGTCACACGAAATTGACACAACAGTATAAACATTTCTACACACTTTTTAACAAAGACGACCTTTGTTAATAACGTGTTAAAAGAATTGCAACATTACTGACGTTTATTTTTCTTTCAAAGTACGTAACAGAAATGCAGCTGCAATTTTTATTAAGACATTTTTATTTGTTCAATAAAATGCAGAAATTAAAAAAAAAATGTTTTTGAAGCTCCAGCCCTGCGAGGAGGAAATTTACATCATTAAGCTGTCACTCTGCAAGTAAGAATCTTCAACGCAGACTGTTGCGAAATAAATCACTAATAGTGAATTTGTTTGTATGCGTGTGACCTGATATGACCAGTTACGCACATCTGTGGTCTAGAAAAAAGTATTGGTATGCAAACATCACTGGAGCATATCAATGCTTTTTTAAATTTATTTATTATATTTCAGTCTTATAAATGTCATACTTTCATAATAAAAATGGTATGTTGACTACATTGAGTGCGAGATTATTTTACCGCTTCAGAAATGGACAAACTGAACGTCTGGAGAAAATACATAAAACCCTGAAACTCTTTTTTTTTTCAGGGGACAACATTGGATGGGCAGATATAGTGGGTGAAACTTTAGAGAATACCAATCCTGTGGACCAGTACTCCGGGGATGAGTGTTGTAAGTAAAGTAGTTTGATACTGTAGTACACATTGCATGCTATACTACTTTATTGTACTGTACTGTTTGACATTGATTTTCCACTGTAGAGTACTACACTATACCTTACTTTGCTACACAGTTTACTATACTACACATTCATATTACTATAATTATACCACTGCTTACTATTCTACACTTCACTGCAATACACTCTTCTTAGAGATGCACATACATCATAAGTACAATTTCTACTAAAACATATACTATATGTACTATATTTGTACTCCACTGTGTAATACTGTTAGTATACAGTAGTACTATATGGTTATGGTTCTTAATAGTGTAGTATATGAAACTATTTATCTTGTTTATAACTTACAATGCTGTAGTGAAGTATACTTTTCTTTACAATCATATACAATTACTACTATATTATACTATAATGTTTTATACAATGTACAGGTTTACTTCAAATGGTATTACAGTTTACTACTGCATTAGAACACCTAGCAATATTTACGAGACCACTAACTGTATGTCTTTACAATAAAATATTGCAGTGCTTATTGTACTCTTAGAGATGCACATACATCATAAGTAGTTAGTTAGTACTGTACTGTGCTGTACTGTATAGTACACCAATGTCTCCTAGTATTAATCACTAGCTGTGATGCAGTTGTTAGGATTCAGAGCACACACCTCAGGTGTAAAGTCTTTTCTCACAAACTAATATAAACCTGAAGGTTGCTGTGAGTCAGTGACAGTGAGTCAGAGATGGACTGTGCCCTAATGGATATAACTGTCAGTAGAAACACATCCTGACTCAAACACATCCTTCATTCAAAATGGATTTGGTCCTGATGTTTGCCAATTTTTCTGCAGGCCATAAAAAAACATGTCTGACACAATGTAAAACATGTCAAATTAAGTAGGTAATTGAATATGTTGTCACGTCTTAGAAGAGGCTCTTACTGTGTGTGTGTGTGTGTGTGTGTGTGTGTGTAGTTTTGCAGGAATATCCAGATAGCTGTGACTGCATCCAGACAGAGGTGGTGTGTGTGGAGGTGAACCTTCAGAATGTTCCACCTCTGTCTCCAAATGTGACCTGGCTGTGAGTAAAAAAGAAACAGAAAATCCTCTTTGTCCCTTTACAGCTGTGTCTTATAGAACGTTTTGCATTGTATAAATGGGGGATTGTGGCCACACTGTTATTTTTCAGCTTTTAGGTTTAAAAAAAAACAACTCAGAGAGAGGAGCTGGAAAAATCAATTTCAAGTTTGAAAATTGTTCTTTCTTTTTTTTTAACCACAAGTAATGAAAAAGCCCAAAGAAGATCAGTTATATTCAGCGCTGAGTTTCATACATTTTAACGAGAACTGACAAAGCAGTAATGGGTTGATTCCTGCAGTGTGTGGCAGGGGTCTCCAACGCATCATCAGCTCGTCGCCCTTTTTCAAGTACCTGGCCAAAGGGCTAATGACTTAAATACACATTTGAAAACTTAATTGGTCGCGTAATTAATTACATTTTTATCCAATCCAAATGGACAGTTGTCCCGCCCCCTTCGAAAACAAAATGTTTAATTAAATGTTTAAATCCAAATGGACAGTTGTCCCGCCCCCCTTCGAAAACAAAATGTTTAATTGCCATTTAGCTAGAACTCAAAACGTGCGCTGCTGTCGACCTTGATCAGTCAGTGGTGATGAACCGGAGTCATCACGGTGATAGGTGTCCAAACCAACAAGGGGATTGAACAGTGTACCCTAGACGGTGATAGGTGTCCAAACCAACAAGGTGTACCCTATTGTTTGCCACAGCGCACGTCAATACCTACTGACTGCAAGTTAAGCAACATGAGTAGCTCATGTTAAACTTTAAATTTTATGCTTGGCAAATATGACTGAAATCTCGGTAAAGACAGATGTTTTGGTCAAACTCTTGGCAAGTTTGTTTGAGAATGAGAGTGAGAGTCAATGCAGCTGCAGTACAGGATGTTGACTGTATATATTTAGTAGCCACTGTGTGTGGTTCTGTGTGTTAGCATAAAAACAGCTGCAAAGACAGGACGTTTGTTTGAGGACACCACAGAGACACAGATTTGAAAGGAGTGACCTTTAAATGCCACGTCATAATGAAGATATTTTAAGCCATATTTGAACTATTTGAGTTGATTTCTTGTGGTGATCATCTGGCTCATGCACGAGGCTATTATTATATTTTCTAGTTGCCTATCTTAGCTCCAAAATACCGTGGTATCAGAATTCCAGGATGTTTGACTGTACTTTCCCTCTCTTTAAAACTTATTTCATCAATGTTAATGTTAACAGTTTTTATTGATCAGCTGCTTTCACGCCATTTATTCTTGCCTTCTTCCATCTGTTCACACCCATTTGTTCTCCATCTCTGTCCAACAGTTGTCATAGACTTCCTGTTTTATTTAAGACTTATTTACTCTCTGAGGATGCATTTCTAGGCAGCAGTCAGGGTGGTTTTTATTGGAGTTTTAACAGTAATTCAATTATATTTATTTATGTATGTAACAGTAGATGGTACATTCAGATTGTGTGTTTGTGACTTCTTCTGGTTCTTCTCTGGAAATACCTTCATGTTAGTGTACTGTTAATCGAAAAGTTTATATTTTAAATCTATTTATCTATCGATCTATCTATCTATCTAACTTATCAATAACTAAACAGCTTTAATGCATATTAATGCAATGAATTTTAATTAAACTTTTTATTGTCTCCTATTTATTTGTTGCTGCAACGTGCCACTTTCCCCAGTGTCGTTTCAATTACATCTATTCTAAACTAATCTGATCTGATTTGATTTGATCTCATCTAAACTGGTCCAATCCAATCAAATCTAGTCAAAATGAACACAAGTATTGCCTATATTAACTTGTACGTGTGCAGAGGCACCCACATACAACAATCACAGCTGTACACCAACCCTCACTCTCTAACTCCCCCTCCCCGAGCGCTCCCACCCACTGCTTCCCTCCCAAAAATGAATTATTAGTTGAAGAGCCTGGCCCTCAGGCCTTTTTCAGACAACTTCTTTAAAAGCAAAAATGTTTTGAATTTGTCGTCACCTGCAGCCAAACATTAATGTTTATGGTTCAGTAGTTGGAACATTCTTCCTTTACACTCTCTGTGGGTTTGCTGTTCTGTTTCAAAAATGCTAAAAGTGATTATCCTACAGACTTCTCTGACGTACCCTGGTGCTTGTTAATGGGTTTTTGTCGAAGATTGATGGTACAGTACACTACATCCAGTACAAACTCGATACCTAAAGAGCCAGAATAACCAATAGTTTTACAAGGTCCCCGCACTGTAAAACAAATCCTGGCCTTGTCAGCTTTGTGTGTTCTACACCGAACTTGAAGGCTTGAACGTGAAGCCAGTGTGAAGTAGCCACATTATTGATTTTTCATATCCAGGTTTATTTTAGGACAAAAAAGCTTTTCATGAAACATAAACCACGGAGAGGTTAATCTAAAGCATTATTATTATTTGATATTATTATTATTATTTGGTGGCACTTTGGCCCAAGAGGCAATGTCTCTGTCATTGGTGTGAAACCCCAGGGTTCACCTCCTGGGCAAGTTCAAATCCCGGTTAGGGCGGTTGGTACCTTCTAGTGGACTCACCACCTGCAGGAAGGGTTAGGTTGGTGCGGTGCAGTGTGATTTGGGTGGCTACTGCTGCCCCCGCGACCCGGTAACAGATAAGCGGATGAAAATGGATGGATGGATGGATGTTATTATTTGTTGTTGTTGTTGTTTGGCAGCGTGGCAAAGCTGTTTTTATTATAAAATTGTATTTTCTGCAGAATGTTGCCGTCTACTGGCCAAACCGACTGCACTCTATACATTTCATGACAGATATGACAGTTCCACAAGGGTAGGGTAGCGGAGTGACACATTTTATGATAGGATTTTATTAAGAAATGCGGTTAGTTGTTTGGTTTTAGCTCCGCCAACATCCAGTTTCGGCTAAAACTTTGTCTGCACGTTGGGCCCTATGTTGACGGAGGGCGCAATTGCAACTGATGTGTAATTGCACGATTGGTTGTTGATGAGTACAATTGCTCTGTTCAGACAACAGAGGGCATGACGTGCTGAGAAACAGGACATAAGAGGATGCCTGACGTATATTTTTCCGGAAGTTGTTGTTGGCTAAGCTAAAACCGAACAACTGACCGCATTTCTTAATAAAACCCTATCATGAAACGGGAGTGGAACATGAATAAAATAGATATCGTTTGATAGTAGAAAACCAAATATCTCATATCTCCTGTAACTAATGCTAAAGCTAAGTTCACTACCGCACAGCGTGAATGCTGTCATTACGATTGCCAAACACCTGTAGAGTGTAGTGGGTTAGGCCAGTACAGCAATATTCTGCAGAAAATAAAATTAAAAAGCGTATTTGGTCAACATTTAAAAATGCACATTAAATCCATTAAATACACATTAAATAAATTGGTTATATTTTATAGTTGCCTGTCTCAGAATTAAAGGAATGTCTCTTAGTGGTGTTTTATTTTATCTACAGAGATAGAAATCTTCTGCTTAGTTAGCTAGTGACAGAGGACTTAATGCCAACGTTAATTCTTTCAGTAAAGCTCCCACCTTCTCCTCCCGCTGACACTTCCCACCAATCATAATACCATGTTTTCCTATCAAAGAAATACTGACTTAAAGTTCTGAAATGATGGATCACAAATCAATAAGAAAAAACCTGAGGGGAGAAGAGAAGAAAGGTACAAATACCCCGTCTGACAGCCGCCGGATTATCACATGAGGCTGAAGAGGAGCAGTTTTTAAAGAAGAGAAGTGCAGGTAAAGAACCTGCTCAGAGCTGGTGTTTCTTTTTAGCAGATGGAAAATCTCATCTCTTTTTTATCAGATCAAAATGTGACAGATTTGGTATGGAAGTCGTTCTGTTGTTCCTCGGATACAACATACACCCAACCCCTAGTGGCTGTTTCCATGAAATGTCTCATATTTATCCATTTTATTTATTTCCCCTCAAACTGGTTGACTTTTAGGAAAGAATGTATTATTTTTTAATGCTTGGTGGTCCAAATTCCCAAATCTCTGTGATCATCAAACTCCCAGGTCAATTAAATGAATGTCAGGCCCAGTCAAGCGTAGTGTCATTGTAATTCCAGCTGCAGCACCTGACCTCCTCCGTGGCTGTGGAAGCCATTACTGCTCCAGCTTCAGTCAGAGCCTGTGCAGCCGAGGCTGTTATTGTAGAGGGATTAAACCAAGTGCTGCTCTGACTGGGACTTAGTCGGCTAATTATCTCAGCTTCTAACCCTGCTTCCTGTTTTTCCTTATTTTCTTCTCCACTAATGTTTCAGCAAGTAGCCAACTCTTCCAGAGCAGATGCTTCTGTTTCTTGTTTCTAATCAGACGGAGTGAAATTAATGAATATCATCTCTGTGTGCAAATCTGATATTTCTAATCCAATCTGCTAAAAATGGGAACATGGTGGTTATCTGAAGGGATTCAAACAATGTTGAAATTTAATAACAACAATTTACGGTGTGTCCCTGCCAATTAAAACAAAGAACATTAATCATGATCATATTTGTCCAATTATATTTGGTTTTCCTTTAATATTTGTCTAAAATCACTCTGCTCTACTTTGAATTGCTAATATGAGTTTAACTCGCAGATCTTTTCATGTCATTTATCTTATTTTTTAACCTATGGTTTTTGATAGTCTTTCTTTAAGTTCTCTCTGCATTTCTAAAGCCTGTGAAGACTGGGTCTAACCAGCATTCCTGATCCAAAATCCTGTGTTTGAGTCTCCTTCCTGGTACAGTTGTTACAGTCACCCTTAGCAGAAACATAAAAAATAAAGTTGTTCAATGTAAACTAGTACAATGTTAAAAGATTTGTGTTGTTTTTATACATGAAGCAGAATTTGTATTTATTTTCCTCAAGTTTGGAGTTTTTTGCAGCTGCATCCATTCATGGTGTGGCCACAGTTTTAGACACAGAGAGTCTTGTTGTCAATGAGTTTTTTTGTCCAATGGCTCAGATTGTTATCGTCCTCACTGCCTCTGTTTGGATCTAACTGCTCGCCAGGTGTGTGTTTATGAACCCTCCGTTCTGCGGTTCTCCTTTGACGTGCACGCTGTGACTTCCTTTACAGGTCACTGAGGGCCAATAGGATTCAAGTGTTGACTGATTTTGTTTTCTCAGAATACCCTGCCCTACAGAGACTGTAAGTACTGCTGTTCATGTACATCCTTAAAATATATTTTATCACACGCAGCTGTTTTTTATTCTTCTAGAATTTACGGCTTAAATGTTCTCTGTAGTCTGAGAGAGTGCTGTAGCGCACATTTGATTTGATAAGCTATCTGTTAGCTCTCTGGTTGACACAGGACCAGGATGTGATGTTTGGTGCATCTATTACTATGTTACAGGGAAAAGTACAACCTCATATGATGTAAATTATATATTTTGATATATAAGTCACACCTGAGTATAAGTCGCAAACCCAGCCACAGGATGAAAAAAATTGCGACTTATAGTCCGGAAAATATGCTATATGTGTATTTGTGGTTCCATAGTGTAGTGGTTATCATGGTGGCCTGAAGGTCCTGAGTTTGAGCCCCATAGGAACCACAAAAATCAATGGTGCCTTTGTGGGTTGCAAAAACTTTATGTATATGTAATATAAATGCCTTTGTGGGTTGCAAAAACTTTATGTACAGTATATGTAATATAAATTATATTTGGATCACTTGTGAAAAAAGAAGGCCTCATTGGCTTATGGAATGTTAAGAAGAAAAGGAGATGCATTCAACACAAAGAACACTGCCCCCAATGGAACGTAAATGTGAAAGTAACAGTCATGACAGAAAACTATTGAAACATTTGTAAGATAAAACTGCACACATTTTTAAAAGCAACGGAAGTTCACAAGGATTTTACAAACATTTTAAAACTTTAAACACAAACGACAGGTCACTGAAGTGTCGTTAGGAGCCAGGTGGTTATTATCTTTGCTTTTAAGAGTCAGAATTTGCATGTTTTGCATGTGATTGTTCTGTGCAGACGACTGTCCCGTGTGTTGTTGTGGAGAATGCCGCATGCTGATTAGTGTATTATCCTGTCATTGTTGTCCAAAAGAGGGACAGAAATACATGTGTTCTGGTTGATAATTAGGATATTACTCTAACAACAGGGTCGTCATCACTTTGGCACAGTGTTAGAGCATGTGTGTGTGTGTGTGTGAGAGAGAGAGAGAAATCATGTTTGTATTCATGAGTTTCAGGTGAAAAGAACAAACTCATAATTTCCTCCTATTAAAATATATTGTTTTACCTTTATTTTTCTCAGATTTCTTCAAAACAACAGCCTGCAGTTTATTTCCAGACACGCTTTCCGAGGCCTACACAAATTAAAAAGGCTGTAAGTACGTCTTGCCCACTTCCACACAGTTTTACCTTCTTGGATTAACAGAGTGAATTTAATTTCCATTTGATGTCATTTTTCTCCAAAGAGCTCCTCACACAGATGCTCATTTTTTATGAATTGTTTTAAATTTCAATTTAAAAAGAACCATCTTCCAGAGAGTAGGCCTTCACACAGCCTGAAGAGAAAATATAACTGTGTTCTCAACAGGGAGATAAAGTCTTAATAAGACATGGGCACCTGTGGCACCTCTGGAAAAAAAAATTAAGGCAAAAAGTTATTCAACCAAAAGGAAATTGTTTGGTCTTTTTTTGTTCTTCCTTCTCCAAGTCTGCAATAACTTTTAATGACTAAATTTACATGGTTAAACAATCTTTTAATCAGATGTTGCTCAGTGAAGTAACATCTGGCTTGTTGATTGTGCAGTTGTATTTGGAGTAAAGGAACAGTACTGGTAGACTGAAGCTTTCTGAATCTGCTAAAGAAAGTTTATATTATATTTTAATCACAGTGTTTAAAAATGAGCACTTTTTTAATGGTCCCAATAAAATGGTAAAATATCCTTAAATTCCCATGGCTCTTTTTTTGTGGTCAGGTTCCTCAGTGATAACTTGATATCGTCCCTCAGTCCTGGTGTGTTTGGTGACCTACACCAGTTAGAGTGGCTGTGAGTAACACACACACACACACACACATACTGTACATTACATTTAGAAATGACACATCAGAATATGAAAAGAATTTAGATAAGACTAATAAGTATGGAGTCAATTAATCATCTGAAATGTATTTGACAGAAAACTAAAAAGAAGTAAAAAGAAAAAACGTGTGTTCAACATCAAGCAAACAGTTCTTTCAGGGTTAGCCAAAAACATATTGAGACACGTTTGCTGATAACCCTTAGCCAAAACAGTTATAAAATGAACTATTTAAAATCTTTCATTGAGACACAAATGTTAGCTACAAGCTAAAAAAAACAGCTAATATAGAGAAAATAGGTTGTTTTTTTTAAGTAAAAAGCATTTAGTGTATAAACAAACCCTTGTTATTCTGTGTTTGACTTTTTATATGTATAATTTTGCCAGAATGTTGGATAACAATCCACTGAGGATTCTGGCTCAGGACACATTCATTGGGCTGCAGTCTCTTGTGTATCTGTGAGTAAAATCAATTCTTACCCAACATCAGCAACATGTCGGACTTTTAATCTGGTACTTTCACACGATTTGTTTTTAGTTTGACAATAAAAGAATCCCTTTTTTCTGATGTAGTTGATTAATAAATAATTAAACACTTTATTTGTCTCATTTCTCCACGTTATCCAAATGCTTAAAGGAAATCAGGGGCCTGTCGGGTCCCTTTTTAATTGCGTGCTAATAATTTGTAGTGCTAGATCTCACACCTCAGTTCATGCTCAGACACGTCTCTGTCGTTCATGTTGATGAACACGAGACACACATTGTCAACTTGTTCAAAAACTAAATTCAGAGTTTTTGTAAATAAAAGGAGAAAGTTTGGTCATTTTCCTGAGAAATATTGTGTCATCTTCCTCTTCCTCATTCTTACTCTGTTCTCTGTTAACAGCGTGAAATATTGTTCTGCAGCCTCTGGCTTCATGTCCACTCATATCGTCCCACTGCACTTATTCTCTCCATGCTCAGCTATGTCAACAACAGGAATCAATTGGAAACATTTCAAGTTCTTACTTGACGCACAGAAATGTGCTTTGGCACACTCTGTGGTGATGGTCAGAGCTGCCCCAGAACAGAAGATCATTCAGTTCAACAACTCCCTCTGTCCTGGGCTTCTGCTTCTCGAGGCTAGAGCTTAGTGTTTCTAAAGCGTTTCCAATACAGCGTTTTCAAAAATAATTATCAAAATATCAGCTATAAATTACTCTTTACCTTTGTGTGAAAGTTTTTAGGAACATTGCATTTTTAAGAAAAAAATAATAAAATGTTATTCTGAAATCTAGCGTAGGTCCAAGAACTGGACTTTGAGAATATTATAGTTTAATAATATTTATTTTAGTTGTTGTTGTTAAGTCAAGTGTTAAAATACCTGTGTGTATCTGTTTCAGATCTATGGTGGGCACTTCACTGGAGCAGCTTCCTCACCCCAGCTTCTGCCAGCACATGCCTTCCTTAGACTGGCTGTAAGTCTTATCCACTTTGTGTATTTGTATTTGTGTGTGTGTGGGGGTGGGGGGGGTGTCTCGTAATAACAAGGATCCCTGCTTCTGTTCTGGGTCGCGTCCATCCCGATGTGCAAATTGGACATGCTGCAGTGTCTGAAACCATTTGTGGATCTGTATGCATATGAAGCAGTGGTTCTCAAACTATGGTACATGTACCACCAGTGGTACTTGGACTTCCTCTAGTGGTGACAGACAGAATTTGTTTTTTGTCACTTTTTGTTGTTAAATACTGCTTTTGAAAGGATTGTGTGTGGCTCTGTGTGATTTTAAAAATTCTACCTAGAGTAAGTGCTCTTGCAGTGCTACTCCATGGTACTGTACACTGTGGCTTTGGCTGCTAAATAGGCTACAATTACATTACAAGTACTCAACTGAACAGGATAGGCCTGTGCTGATGCAATAATGATGGTCATAATACTTGAAGGGCCAAATATTTGGAGTTGGAACACAGTGTGAAAAGTTTGAAAAGCACTGCTCTGAACGATTCATCTGAAGGAGTGAACTCTCCGACTGCGTGCGTGCATCAAATCAGATGAGAAGTGGAGGTGATGGGGATTGCGTAGCCGGTGGTATGAGGCGGCGATGAGTGGCCCTACAGACTTCATGAGCTGTGAAGTGCTCTCAGCGGATGTCACTGCGGTGGGTCAGCTCGACCTGGTATTTTTGGTCCAGGTGTAAATTGGAGTGCGCAGAGAAATGGAATTGTAATGACCCCATACTATCTGTGGGCCATACGATCAGCTGTTAGCAGCATGGTGTCGCACAGCTCTTCTACTCTGCTGTTAAAATCCTGAAGAAAACAATCATTCGGCTCCCTTTCTAATGTTCTGTCTGTTTCCACCAATGACAAGACACAACCACGTCAGTGTCTCGTTCCTTTTTGAAAAGCGACGTCTGTATTTCAAGGTTCGAGTGTCTCGTTCGAGCATGCAGGATTTCTGAACTTGTTTTCCCTTCTTTCTGCAGGGATCTCGAGGGAAACCAGATTCAAACTCTCAATTACTCCCTCCTGAACACTTGCAGCAAGCTCAGGGTTCTGTGAGTACCTTTGTTTAAAGTGTATTTAAAAATAGAACAGCTAAGGAGTTCATTTGCATATCTGACAAGTGGAATGATCTGTTTTTTAAGGGGAGCTGTTTCCACTCATACACTGTATTTCTGTGGTACTTTGTAAACACTGATCTGCGTTCATAAAGGGCACCCCCCCATCTCTACTCCTCTGGCACCAAGCTACATATTTACCTGAGAGGCACCCACCTGCCTGGAGACGATTGTATGAGTCAGACAAGTAGAACATACAGGATGTTTCTAAAAATGGACGTAGCCTTCAGTAAAGCCTTGTGAACTTTTTATATATTTGCAACAATATTCTCATCTTAAGTTATCATCCTAAAACACCATGTCTGCCCTGCTAATAATTTTCAGCTTTATTTTTAAACCTGCATACATATATTTAACAGGTAAAATCTCCATTGAGATTAAATCACTTGATCACCCAAGAGTGACTTGGCCTAAAAGGCAGCTGCAGCAACAACCATCATTCACAACACAAACGTGATAAATGCAACACATGAACACAACAGCTCAGCAGTGAGGTTGGAAGTTTGTCTGTGTCATTTCGTACAACAACAACAACAACTGTGTCTTTGTTCAGGTTTCTAATGGACAACATGATTAAGAGAGTTCCTGAAAACACTTTCCTGTCCTTGTGGAAACTTACTGAATTGTAAGTCATTTTCTTTCTCATTGCAGTCACATTATCAATGAAAAAAAAATCTATTTGCAGTCTTGATGGTTGTGTCTGTACAGAGTGAGATGTCTACGTTAATATCTGTGATGATGTGTCTGAAAAGAAAGTGGTGTTTTGTTTTTTTATTAAAATGTATGAAGACCAGGGACAAAACTTACTGGAATGTACACTGTAAAAGGCAAAAGAATGGAAAATCTGTAAAAAAAAAAAAAAAAAAAAAAAAGAATCTAAAAAAGTTAAACAGACACTGACACGTTTGAAAAAGAAACTACCAGGATCAAACACAACTGAAAAACAGGCGAGTGAGGAAATGTTGAGGCTGGTGAGGCCCAGTGACAGTCTGACAGAGCAGTGGAAACAGATCTGGACCTAATGAGGGAACAGGTGAAAAACAGAAGAAACAGTCTGTGTGGTTCTACACACAGGAGGGACTCACAGTAAACCAAAAACAACCCTCAATAATAATGCCATCATTCTGGATTGCACTCTAATGAATTACACAGTATAAAATATCATAACTGTAGTATAGTAGAAGTTAAATAGAATTAAACTGTCAACCATGTATCCTCTCAATTACAATATAATTTTAATAAACATAAAATAAAGATAAATCAGCAGAAACACATTCCAGCCTGTTAAAGACTTATGTTAAAATAGTCCATAGATTAATATTCATTTAAATAAATTGAATTTCAAATACATCACTTGATGGTAGACCACATGGAAAGCTGGTTAAAAAAACTGTCCTGTAAATGTAATCTCCTCCCTTTAAAGTTCTATTTTAATTAAATATTTAGTCAAAACTCAGTGTGTGTGCAAGTTATTGTTTCCACTATTCATGTTTAGTAAAGAATGAATGCATTTTCTTCCAATTTGATTTTGTATTTTACCCTTGGTTCCCTCCCGCCCCCCATTTTAGGAATCTGTCCAGCAACCGGATAAGAGAGCTGCCAAAAAACACCTTTAAAAGCCTTTCCAACTCTCTCCTTCGACTGTGAGTATCTGATCTCAGCCCAGGCAGAGGTGTGACTCATTATCTGGGGATTATAACAGGAATGTATTATGGGGAAAGCAGGAGACGAAATACTATTTAAGTCTTTAGCTTTCAATTGGATTCAAAGGCCATAACTTTATCTCTCTGTCTGCACTTTTCGCTTGCAAAGAAAATAGGAACATTGAAGGGGCAAATTATGTGAAATGAAAACCTTGTGATGACCTTTTCGTGAGAGATGTGATCGTGTTTTAAACCAGAACGAAAAGTGGTTCATCGAGAACCCTTTAAAGAGCTGTTAAACGCTGGTTCTCGGTGTCGTTTTACACTAGAGTGCTTCCTATTGGGTCACATGTAGGTCTTTACACTCCAAGAATATTCCAAGGTTAAATGTTTGTATCTGGAAAATACCCGTGCAGTACACAGTAAACAGGAAATCCAAACAAGTCGGTCGTATTTAAAACCAATGACTTTTTCATCCAAAACAACACTAACAGAAATATTCTGAAATAACATAAAATACCATTTCTGTTTTTCCCCTAACTTTAAGTGAACACTCAAATGAAACAAAGCGAAACTTCTGCAAAGAACTGGAAACATATATGAGGGGAAGGAGTAAAAGCTTTTTAAATATATATTTATATATAGAAGCGTTTTAAACATAGACACAAAGGACCAGGGTGCATCAAAGATTTTAGGATTTCAAACATGCACAGAGTGCAGATAAGCACACTGCTTCAAATATGTGGCACGTGGGCCAGATTGGCACTGTGGGCCACTGTTTGAGGGCAACTGGTACAGTATGACCATGTATACAGCACTACAAAAAAACGTTGTTTTGTAAATCTATTTACAGATTTAGACTTTCCAATATTGACAATTCATCTACTATTTACTGTTGTCTCATGAATATTGCTGTTATGGAGTTGATGAGATTTTTCTTCATTTCTACCGTGGTGGGCTGGTTTATTTCATGGGTGGTTGATTTTATGTAATATATTAAATATATTACATATAAAATTATAGTTAAAGTTTTAAGTTTCCTCATGCAGAAATCCACAACAGTGTTTTGTTTAGGTTTGCATCATAAATGAGTTATACATTACAGTTAACATTTCATTTAGTTTTTTATACCGCTCGGGTTGCTGTAGGGCTACATTATAATTAGGTTAGGTTGTTCCTCCAATATTGAAAACCTGATAACACAATGTCTGGGTTTCACGTTGGGGCAAAGCAGATGCAGATGACAGTGAATTATTGTCACTGATGCACAGCCCACTGCACACTAATCAGAAAAAAACCCTATCTGGCTGAGATGTTTGGCTGTGTGTAATTTAAACCAGGGGTGTCAGACATACGGCCCGTGTGCCTGTGGGGTTCGACTGATAAATTTAGAAAGTAGAAAATACATAAACACTTCATGTTAGTTATGTTTTGTCAAATTATATTCTATTAAATATGAATATTTTCTAATATACTTATTTGCATGAAAACAAAGGTGAAAAACAAGGACTTGTTGTTATTTATATGTTATGTTATGATTGTACTGGTCCGGCCCACTTGACATCCAATCAGACTGTATGTGGCCCCTGAGCCAACATGAGTTTGACACCCCTGATAAAAACTATACTCTCGTCCATCAAGACCCCTCAGGGTCTCAGCAGTACCTAAGCTTACACACTGTATGCCTGGGACCTATTTTTCTGTTCTTAGCCCAGTTGTTCTTTTTTGCAGCAGTAAAGAAAAAGAAAAACGGAAAAAATTACAGCACAGTTTTATTGTCCTTCACACATCCATACCCTGACACACAGGTGACCACACAATGTGAAAGACCTCACAGATTTGCCCACCGCTAATTACTTTAATGGTCCGTGAATCCACTGACATTTTAATAAGTAGGGCGTAGTTTTCTACATCCAGGATAAAATAAAAACATCGCAATAAAACAATTAGAACCTGAAAAAAAATCAAATGTGTTGACACCATATGCGATGAAAACAGCTGTAGTACTTTGTCTACGATGCAAATGACACTGATTTACAATTCATTCATATGCATCACCTGCTGTCCAAGACTTTAGCAGAGCTCCTCTACACCCATATTTAATTCATTTTCTATGCTCAGTGAGGCAAACACATGGTGATAATAAGATGGTTTTTATCTACTTCAGTCAGAGACAAGCGCAAAGGCTCCCTCGACACGTTGCACTGACCTTGTGTTATTCTTGTCTTCCAGGCGTCCCAGAAAGTGTGATGTTTCCACATATTTAAACATACAACCTCTAAATACCATCGCGGTCGGGACACTTTCCTCATCGGTTGAAGATCTGTCTGCTTTGTTCATTTGTGGCAAAAGAAAAAGTAAAACACTGGGACCTCTATTAGAAATCAGTTACGTCTAGAGAGGTGTGAATTCTGGTTTTCACCCACAGTCCACAGTGTGACCGAGTCTCTCTATAAATGTGTCCTCTGTGGGTGACATTCCAGGTTGTGTCCAGCCCTGGACTGTGATCCTGTAAAGAATGTGGTAGAAAATGAATGAAGTGTTCACTGACTTAATCACATGACCAGTGTTTGCTTTTGTCTGACATTATATTTTAGGTGACATTATATACACGGAACACACCGCTATAGAGCGTGTAGTCTCATTCTTTAGAAGTTTTCTGGTGACTAGTTTTATTCCTGGTTGCCAAGGCAACGTGAACCCAAACATACAGATGCATTGAGGAAGTCATTATTCACAACAGTAGTGTATTCTTAGGCATCTAATAAAAACTGTAATTGCTATATTAGGAACTAATGAAACAATTTAAACTGCAATAAGTTTAATAATTACAAGACACCAAAAAAAAAGCAATAAAATAAAACATTTAAGCAAAAAGAAAAAGACACAAAGTCTAAACACAGCAGAAGCCAAAAAGAAACTTGTTAAAGTCAGAGGGTGTAAAACTGAATCCAAACAAAGCAGCTGATGTGAAAAGGCCTCCGTCTTCATCAGCGACATTGTTGTTATCCAGTGTGAGTCACATCATTGTCTTACACTCTCTAAAGGCTAAAAACAAAAGATGCCAGATTTTCTTTTCAATTATTCCCACAAACTTTTTGTTCTGACAGCCTTCTCTGAATGTGTCATCGTTGTCTCTCGTTACAGAAATGTCTCCCACAATCCCCTTCTCCAAATCCAGCCCAGCCACTTTAATCATTTGACACAGCTTCAGTCCTTGTGAGTAACACACACACACGCGCGCACACATATAATCTCACACACACCTACGCACCCATTTCAGCCACCCGTAGGATGACGAAAAGTGTTTTTCTTTTTGCAGGGCACTAGAAGGGATCGAGATCCCAGACATTCAGACTAAGATGTTTCTGCCCATGAAGAACCTGTCACACATGTTAGTACACGATCCCAGGACATGTCTCCTCAGCTTTTTTTTTTCTTCAGTGCATCACTCATGTTTCAACTTTTTCTTTTCCTTTTCCCTCTCAGATACTTCAAGAAGTTCCAGTACTGCTCCTATGCCCCCCATGTCAGGTCCTGTAAACCCAACACAGATGGGATATCTTCATTTGAGGACCTGCTGGCTAACGTAGTACTGCGGGTGTCTGTGTGGGTCATTGCCTTCATCACGTGCTTCGGTAACCTCTTTGTCATCGGCATGAGGTCGCTGATCCGAGCCGAGAACAATCTACACGCTGCATGTATCAAAGTTCTGTGCTGTGAGTAAACAACACCCTTCTTTAACCATAAAGATTTAAAAGAATAACATCCAAAAGAACAATCATAAAATATACACAAACATGATCTGCTCTTGCTTGCAAAGTGAAAAGAAGAAGAAAAAAAAAAAAGTAATTCAATCTTACCTGATACAAATTAAAAAATCTCTGTGACAGTAGGAGGAATCACAAGACTTATGGGCCAATCAAATTACAAGATGAACCCCATAAATTAAATTATGCAAAATCAAATTCATCTATCACACAGGCAGATGCTGACCTGCCCTGATTATAACATTTACTACAGAAGATGGATGGCTTTTAAAGGTCTGTATTTCAAACGGCTGCCTGAGGGATACCACTATCTCACCATAAAATCCTTCCATCAATCTTAAGGCACAAGTGAAGGATGTTTCACTGCACAAATGGATGGACCTGAGTCATTGCCTTTGTCATCATCTGTTTACCTAAACATTTTATGACGTCCATCGCTAGTTTTATGTGATGTTAAATGGATGACGTGACACACACTTTTTAATATTGATAGATTATAAAACATAAAAAAATACTGTCTGACATTAAATCAAAATTATATTTTTCAATTGTTCCAGTCAGTTAGAATTATTAAAGTAATTTGTTTTGCTCATTTCTATTTTTTTTTTGTTTGACTATGTCATGGTTTTGGAAGCTTTTCATAAGTTCATAAGTTCATTGGAAATTAATTTAAAAAATAAATCTTTAGATTCACTGCTCCCTGTGTGAGTATTGTAAATTTTTATTTTATAACTTCTTTGAATTATACATGCAACTAGGGATTGTCTATGACGTTGCATTATGTTGAAAATAATAACGACCATTTAAGGGGCATAATCAGTGGGACGGTACATTAAAATGGGTCTTTTATTGTTCGAAGCTGAGAGCTGCCAGTTTGGATTTCTTCTCCTGCCACTTGGAATCTCACTTTTGTATTCTCAGCCAGTCTAACCTCCTCCACAGTTCTTTGGTCTGCTTTACCTATAAATCCTTTCAAACCCACTCTTTTTCCAGGTTTTATTTTGACAGAGATTTCAAACTAAAAGCACCAAGAAGGTTTATGAAAACTCCACTTCTTTTTGGTGTAACCATGTGCTGCCACTCTCTCCACCCAGGTGCCGACTGCCTCATGGGTGTGTACCTCTTTTTCGTCGGGGTGTTCGATGTCAAGTTTCGAGGGCAGTACAATCGTAATGCCCTGCTGTGGATGGAGAGTGTGGAGTGTCGCACCATTGGTTTTTTGGCCATGCTCTCCTCAGAGGTAAAATCCCGCTTATGGCACAGGTTGCTTAAAAACCACATTAATGCTGATGTGATTCTTGGTGCTCCAGACACCAAGCCGAGGTCAGGTCAGGGTTGCAGACGTTCGGTCTGTCCGCCGTGTCCAGCGCTGCTGAGTGCACTTTGTCAAACTGACAAACATTGGCGGCAGCCGTAAAGGCCTTGTCCAAGAACTCAGATGACGCCGTGGCCGACTAAGCATCATTTGATTCCATTAGCTTAAGTCGTCACTGGAATATTTGCACTGCAGCTGGTTAAACTGAACGTCCGCCATTTTATGCTGTGAGCAAATGACTGTGAGTACCTCATCATAGCTAAGGAGCGCTAATTTTTAGACTAGCACAGCTTACCCTCCAGAAAAAAACATAAAAAGTTCACCATATCAAATCTGTAATGTTGAAAAAAAACTGTTACACATGACCTTTAGGTTTCCGTTTGAAGAGATTCAGCTCTACGCTCTGGATTTGGACAAATCCTGTAATTCACACTGCGGCCTCTTTTTTGAAACAGTGAAAAGCCCTGGTTATTCCACTCTGTGGCGGGAGGTAGGCAGCCCGCTGCTCGGTGTCTGGTTCCTAATGAAAGCTAATGGTCCAGTTTTACAGACATTTCTGATGATCTGTCACAGTAACATCAAATATGATGCAGTTCATATTACATAATACTGCAGTTCATATTACTAAGCGTAATGTTCACTCCTCAGCATCTTTTCAAAGTAGCAGTAAAATTACAATTTTACTGTCCTGCACAATGTATTTAAATACAAATCTTCCTCCCACTAAGCTGAGACAGTTTTTTTTTCAACTTATCATTTATCAGCAGTTATTACTGCCGCTGCCGCTGCTGCTGCTTTACCATTTATATCTTTAGGCAGCAATTACTCAGGATTGTTCTCCGACTCTCAGGAGGAAAACTCAACATTGTCTATAAATGATGCTAAGCAGTCAGTTGCGTGCAGGGAACGTCAGTCTATTAACTATTAACTGTACTGTCAAAGACAATAACTATCTAATGCAGCACTAAAATTGCAATTCACTTTTATCAAATAGGAGTTGAACGTGTTTTGTCTAGTAATGAATGCAGTCCCTTTATTGAATATGTCATGTCAGATACTTTTCACATCTAATACTCGTGTGACTCTATACTCTATCTAATATATTATTTTTACTCATTCCAAACTTTTACCACCTGGCCTGTCAAAATGTTCCAACTTTTTTGAAGTAGCTCTAAGTATCAATTCATAATCAGATCACAAAATTGGTGATGATTTATAAAACAATTTTCAGAGGATCCTAACTTTTTATTGCACTCTAAACTGTGTTAAAAATAAATGTTGTACTAATTTTAATAACACGCAGATGTAAATTAAATATATTTATTATCCAAAGAAAAGCCAACCACACAGACTTTTGCCTGCGCAGAAATGAAAAAGTGACTCATATGACTGAATATTTATTGCATGCCATGAGTCATTTCATAAACAGTGATCTATGGAGCTCATTTACTCCAGAAAACACTATAAATCATATTTACTCACATCATTGTTAGTTGCATTTTGGCATTTGCGAGCTTGTGTCATCGTAGACAAATGGCAATTTACATTTGTTGAAGTTTTTGTGAAGTGAGAGGAATCAAATCTTATTTATCTTGGCTAACAAACAGAATTAGTCATGTGTTTTTGTGCTCATTGTAACTGTGACAGCACTGAAACGTATTGAACACGTATCGTGCTGTAGGGCTGTGTCTGTGTACCGAGGGAGAGTTCGTAATAATGTTTTTCTCTCAGGTTTCCGTTCTCCTGCTGACCTACCTGACCCTGGAAAAGTTCCTGGTTATTGTCTTCCCGTTCAGCAATCTGCGCCCAGGGAAACTTCAGACTGGGGTGAGTTCATTTCTGCTGAATGCCTGCACCTATTTTTACTGACTCTTTTTAAAGATTTAATAATCAGCACTGAAGTTGAAGCTTGCTGCGCAATTAAAACTTCTTTTGTGAAAATGTTTTGCCGGATGTTGTGCTCCTGTGGTTTTAGAACAATAATGTTAGATGTAGCTGTGCCTCCGAACAGTCTAATTTTATGTGTCTCATTTACTGTACAGTCAGATCCTCAGATACTCTGAGCCGCACAAAGCCAGATTTGGTCCCTAATTACTGCACTGTTCTATTGTGCTGAGCCTTATCCCAGATAGTTATGTAAAAAGGCTAATTTACATATAAAATAGTGAACACTGCAGTGCCCTCATGGCCTCGGAAACATATTGAGTCGAGTCACCCGGGATATCTAATGAAGTTTCAATCAGAATGACTTAAAGGTTTTGAGCTGATGTTTGAAATGAAGTCCTCTGCTTTGTTTCAACTCCACTTCACTTAAAACAACAAATAACACAATAATTATTCCATGGGGACACACTCTGGAGAGTGGGGATTGTTTTTGCCTAAAAATATCCTTTTTTTTTATAATGATGGTCCTTCTGAATGGCTTTTGAATTTTCCTAGTTCTCCAGCACTCCACCACAGACAAAACAAGCAGACAAGACAACAACAGATTAGGATAATTCTTCACTTCAAAACGAAGTTTCCCTCCAGTCGATTTGTTGAACTGCTGGTCCCGCAAGAAAAAGGATAGCAGAAAATGAATTGTGCTTTGTGTGTCAAACAAATTCAGGTCTGATTGTGCTACATCTTGTATTTTTGAAATAACAAACCAGAAAAATAATCAAACCTTCAAGAACATTCAATCTCACCTGTAAATGCTCTCGTGTGCCAAATATTGAGCCTTGTTACAAACCGGCAATGTGTTAAGAACAGAAGTTAAGTTTTCTTTTTCAGCAGAAAGTGTACTCAGAGATCAACAATGATTTTGTTTCTTCATTTTCTCCATTGTGCTGTGACAAAACCATTGGAAATCACAATGTTTTTTTCTCGTTGCTGACAGAGAACATACAGTCATGAGTTTTATGTTGAGCCTGTCAATATCACTGATGTTGGTTTTTCTACTAGGTGGTCCTGGCATCTATCTGGGTCCTGGGCTTTATTATAGCTGCTGTGCCGCTAATGAATGAGGAAGTGTTTGGAAACTACTACGGACGTAATGGAGTCTGCTTCCCGCTGCACTCTGACAGGCAAGAAAAACCAACTGCCAAAGGATATTCCACAGGGATTTTTCTGGGTAAATTTAAGCAAAAGCTCATTTTGCAGTTTATTTGTTTTTGCCAGCACATGACTTCTGACCTGTGAAGTGTATAAATGCCACTCCTATAAACACTCTTTGCAGATTTTATTTGTCTTTTCCCATTAGATGTAGTTGGTTTACATTAATATATAAACAAAAGTAACTGTGTTTAAAGAATTAAATATTTGTACACTGTCCAATCTGGCAAAGAATTCAAAGTCTTCTATATTAGGTGAAATTATTTTTTTAATATCAAGGTATTTTCCAGTACCTTTAAATGGGAAATGTCTACAACTGTATGTTTTACATCTAGGTGTGATTATGATGCAGCTATGGTTTTCTCTGAGAGAAACTGATCCTACTTTAAGCAGTATTGTACTGTGTTTACCCACCACCTACCAAAGAAAGGAATAGCCCTGTGCCCAAGACTGGGCCATTAAACCACAAACACCACAGCTCCATAAGGAATGCATGATTAGTCTGGGGGATAACGCAGTGTTCTCACTGAGAACCAGTGTAAGTCTGGCAACAGTGATGAATCAATTATAGAGATATTCTCTCTCAGTGGGTGCCAGGATTTACATCACTTGGCTGTTGAAGAATCCCCTGAACTGATTCCAAGAGACACCCCTGTTTGTTGTTTATCTCTAAAGCAGGTTAGAATTGGAGTGCTATCTGGAAAAATGACTGTTGAAAAATGATTTGTTTTTCGGAGCAACCTGTCTTCCTGCACATTTACCGTTATTTTTATAACTACTGGGTGAGAGTGGTTGGTGCAACATGACCTATGACATTGTGCTAATGATCAAAATAGAGGTTGTGTGAACGAATTGAACCTCACCAAGTGTGAAATGTAAGTTATCTTTAACATAGCTTTTAACAGACATGCAATATTCTCTCTCAGAACAAAATTCACAAGTGAAGGTCTTGAGCTTGAGAGTCAACTTAATTCAATAACTTGGCATTAATACACCATGCAAAAACAAACTACTTGTAGGTTTTGGCCTTTAAATAACTATATATTCAAGATAATTTTCATCAGTGTGATTTCACTTTATTTCAGCAAAATGTCATGTTATTATTTTAATAACACGCAGATGTAAATTAAATATATTTATTATCCAAAGAAAAGCCAACCACACAGACTTTTGCCTGCGCAGAAATGAAAAAGTGACTCATATGACTGAATATTTATTGCATGCCATGAGTCATTTCATAAACAGTGATCTATGGAGCTCATTTACTCCAGAAAACACTATAAATCATATTTACTCACATCATTGTTAGTTGCATTTTGGCATTTGCGAGCTTGTGTCATCGTAGACAAATGGCAATTTACATTTGTTGAAGTTTTTGTGAAGTGAGAGGAATCAAATCTTATTTATCTTGGCTAACAAACAGAATTAGTCATGTGTTTTTGTGCTCATTGTAACTGTGACAGCACTGAAACGTATTGAACACGTATCGTGCTGTAGGGCTGTGTCTGTGTACCGAGGGAGAGTTCGTAATAATGTTTTTCTCTCAGGTTTCCGTTCTCCTGCTGACCTACCTGACCCTGGAAAAGTTCCTGGTTATTGTCTTCCCGTTCAGCAATCTGCGCCCAGGGAAACTTCAGACTGGGGTGAGTTCATTTCTGCTGAATGCCTGCACCTATTTTTACTGACTCTTTTTAAAGATTTAATAATCAGCACTGAAGTTGAAGCTTGCTGCGCAATTAAAACTTCTTTTGTGAAAATGTTTTGCCGGATGTTGTGCTCCTGTGGTTTTAGAACAATAATGTTAGATGTAGCGGTGCCTCCGAACAGTCTAATTTTATGTGTCTCATTTACTGTACAGTCAGATCCTCAGATACTCTGAGCCGCACAAAGCCAGATTTGGTCCCTAATTACTGCACTGTTCTATTGTGCTGAGCCTTATCCCAGATAGTTATGTAAAAAGGCTAATTTACATATAAAATAGTGAACACTGCAGTGCCCTCATGGCCTCGGAAACATATTGAGTCGAGTCACCCGGGATATCTAATGAAGTTTCAATCAGAATGACTTAAAGGTTTTGAGCTGATGTTTGAAATGAAGTCCTCTGCTTTGTTTCAACTCCACTTCACTTAAAACAACAAATAACACAATAATTATTCCATGGGGACACACTCTGGAGAGTGGGGATTGTTTTTGCCTAAAAATATCCTTTTTTTTTATAATGATGGTCCTTCTGAATGGCTTTTGAATTTTCCTAGTTCTCCAGCACTCCACCACAGACAAAACAAGCAGACAAGACAACAACAGATTAGGATAATTCTTCACTTCAAAACGAAGTTTCCCTCCAGTCGATTTGTTGAACTGCTGGTCCCGCAAGAAAAAGGATAGCAGAAAATGAATTGTGCTTTGTGTGTCAAACAAATTCAGGTCTGATTGTGCTACATCTTGTATTTTTGAAATAACAAACCAGAAAAATAATCAAACCTTCAAGAACATTCAATCTCACCTGTAAATGCTCTCGTGTGCCAAATATTGAGCCTTGTTACAAACCGGCAATGTGTTAAGAACAGAAGTTAAGTTTTCTTTTTCAGCAGAAAGTGTACTCAGAGATCAACAATGATTTTGTTTCTTCATTTTCTCCATTGTGCTGTGACAAAACCATTGGAAATCACAATGTTTTTTTCTCGTTGCTGACAGAGAACATACAGTCATGAGTTTTATGTTGAGCCTGTCAATATCACTGATGTTGGTTTTTCTACTAGGTGGTCCTGGCATCTATCTGGGTCCTGGGCTTTATTATAGCTGCTGTGCCGCTAATGAATGAGGAAGTGTTTGGAAACTACTACGGACGTAATGGAGTCTGCTTCCCGCTGCACTCTGACAGGCAAGAAAAACCAACTGCCAAAGGATATTCCACAGGGATTTTTCTGGGTAAATTTAAGCAAAAGCTCATTTTGCAGTTTATTTGTTTTTGCCAGCACATGACTTCTGACCTGTGAAGTGTATAAATGCCACTCCTATAAACACTCTTTGCAGATTTTATTTGTCTTTTCCCATTAGATGTAGTTGGTTTACATTAATATATAAACAAAAGTAACTGTGTTTAAAGAATTAAATATTTGTACACTGTCCAATCTGGCAAAGAATTCAAAGTCTTCTATATTAGGTGAAATTATTTTTTTAATATCAAGGTATTTTCCAGTACCTTTAAATGGGAAATGTCTACAACTGTATGTTTTACATCTAGGTGTGATTATGATGCAGCTATGGTTTTCTCTGAGAGAAACTGATCCTACTTTAAGCAGTATTGTACTGTGTTTACCCACCACCTACCAAAGAAAGGAATAGCCCTGTGCCCAAGACTGGGCCATTAAACCACAAACACCACAGCTCCATAAGGAATGCATGATTAGTCTGGGGGATAACGCAGTGTTCTCACTGAGAACCAGTGTAAGTCTGGCAACAGTGATGAATCAATTATAGAGATATTCTCTCTCAGTGGGTGCCAGGATTTACATCACTTGGCTGTTGAAGAATCCCCTGAACTGATTCCAAGAGACACCCCTGTTTGTTGTTTATCTCTAAAGCAGGTTAGAATTGGAGTGCTATCTGGAAAAATGACAATTTGTTTTTCGGAGCAACCTGTCTTCCTGCACATTTACCGTTATTTTTATAACTACTGGGTGAGAGTGGTTGGTGCAACATGACCTATGACATTGTGCTAATGATCAAAATAGAGGTTGTGTGAACGAATTGAACCTCACCAAGTGTGAAATGTAAGTTATCTTTAACATAGCTTTTAACAGACATGCAATATCCTCTCTCAGAACAAAATTCAGAAGTGAAGGTCTTGAGCTTGAGAGTCAACTTAATTCAATAACTTGGCATTAATACACCATGCAAAAACAAACTACTTGTAGGTTTTGGCCTTTAAATAACTATATATTCAAGATAATTTTCATCAGTGTGATTTCACTTTATTTCAGCAAAATGTCATGTTATTTATTTTAAAACTGTTTATACAAAATGTTAACTTTTTTAACTTATTTTAAAACTGTTTATACAAAATGTAAACTTTTTTTGTTTGTTTGTTTAGGTCTAAACGTGGTGGCGTTCCTGGTGATAGTGTTCTCTTACTTCAGCATGTTCTACTCCATCTATAAAACCGGCATCAACGCCACAGACCTGAGGAGCAGACTACACAGAGATGTGGCTGTGGCCAACAGATTCTTCTTCATTGTGTTCTCTGATGCCCTCTGCTGGATTCCCATATTTTTGGTGAAGATCCTCTCACTACTAAAGGTGGAGATACCAGGTATTTTATTTTATTTTAAACATTTTACACACACACATCCAAACAGTTGTATATCACACATTTTCACTTCCATTTTCACTTGTCTGTTTGCAGGGACAATCTCCAGCTGGGTCGTCATCTTCATCCTCCCCATCAACAGTGCTCTCAACCCCATTCTTTACACGTTAACCACCAGTTTCTTCAGGGAGCAGGTGGAAGTCTTACTCTGCCGGTGGCAGAGAAGACACATCTTGAAGAAAGACCGTAAAAGCCTCACTTCCTCCACAATCTTCATGGAGGCATCAAGGCCTCAATGCTACCAGCAGCCAGCCTACCTCCAACGCATATCACTGACTGGTGCAGATCCTCGCTACGCCTGAGGGAGACCAGAACTTGCCAGGCTTTTTTTGATTTGGAAACTATGGGTCATGGGTCTCGAAATGGAGGACTTTCGACTCTTCTGGCATGACAGCTGCACTGATTCTGAGTTTCATTCAACAAAATTAACAGCCACAGGGCTCTGTCTGCTTTTTTCTCGCCTTTGTTTACACAACAAATAAGTGGTGCCGTGTATTACACTGAGGAGGAGCCGCGGGCCAAAGTGATGACCTTTCTCCCAGTGATTGACCATTTGAGCCTTTCACATTGATCGTATGGAATATCATCCAAGCAAAAAAAAATAAAACAACAACAACAAATGCCAGCTTACAGTATACATCATTATACTACCTAGAAAATATTTACGATGAGTCAACATACATCCAAGGGCTGACTGAGTTTGTTTTCAGACTGGGTCTGTGGTTGTCTCAGTTCTGGAGTGACTGAGAGTTTGTAAAAATCATGTGTCAGGATCAATGATAAGTGCAGATCCAAAGGAGTACCGCAAAGTAAGTAGTGAATACATTCTTTTTTACATTTAAATTGTGCAGAACATCAAACTTTTGATTGTTTGATTGATCATAATCATCTTGATTTTTTTCATTTCAATCCATAACTAGTCCAAATTTGAGTAGTATCAACACAATTACGCTTTTACAAAATTATATTTCACTTAATTTCTGCCTTCTGGATTTTTACGTTTTATTCCTATTTTGATTCACTGTTCCATTAGTTTCTTCGTTTGCGGAGTCCTGCATTTTAGTCACAAATCAAAAGCTTTTTACATTCCAAAATATTGGATGTGGATGTATTAAAATGATACAATTATTTAATGTAAGTATTTTTTATCAGAATGTATTGTTTAATTTGTTATTCTTTGACTTATTATTATTATTATTATTATTATTATTATTATTATTATTGAGCAATGCAAAGTTAGTGCACAGCAAAAAGGTCTTTGTTTCATGTGTCGTTTAGGCCAAATAATACTTCTGTTTGGGGTTTAAATGTATTCCCAGAGTACGTTGCTGTAGAAAATCTGAAGTCCTTCAAAAGTTTAAAAACATTCACAATTGGGGTAACCATTTAGAACCATTTTAAAACCAGCATTTGTGTAGTCCTGATTAAAGGAAACATTTTTTACTCCCACAGAACTGAAAATGGAGTTATTACCCTTACACTTGCTATATCTACCATCCAATCAAAACTTTACACCGCAGAGAAATCCTCCTACAATTACACATTAACTTGACATACTTCCAGTTTTTGGTTGGTCTATTTTGTTGTCACTGTTTGTAAGACATCACTAGGTTTTGTTTATGATTTGTGCCTTTATTTAAACTTTTATAAACATTTACGTTATGTACAGTATGTGTGTACACAGGACAATCTTGGGAGTAAGACAAAGAAATTATAGGAAGAGTCCTTGTACCTTTTGCCAAGTATAAATACAGTAGAACCTCCTGACTTTGAAGGACTATAACATTTCTGAATTAGCTTTGCAGATTTTTGCTGTGTAATATTTTGGTACAGGAGGAGGATGTCCTGTCTATGTGTATGTCCTATGTATCGTTACGTTTCTTGTTCAGTGAATTATGTGTTTGTTGGATTCCTCAGTCTCTCCTCTGGCTGAAAGAATAAAAAAGTGACCTGAGAAGTTCACATTGTGCAAATAGCTTTTAAGCCATTCCTTTGTTTGTTTTTGCATATAATTGCATTTTGACCAAGATGTAGCTATTTAGCTACAATATATGTCTGGACGCAACATATGGACAATATAACCTGCATTTTTGTGGACTTACCCTGAGAATTTTTGTGTAATTTCAACATTTTTGCCACTCGTTTTAATATATCTTTCCACAAATACCTTTGCAGTGTTTTGGCCTTTGTACATGTAATTTACTTTGCCCACCTCTTCCTAGCCCTCTTAAAATCATTGACTGCACGAAACAGATACAATTTTAGTATAATAACAAGTAGAATTTAAACTAGATATAACAAGTATAACCTGGATGCTAAAAACTGTCGCAACGTAGCTGGTAAGTATAATAATCACACTAAAAAGTCCTGTTTTTTTCTTTATAGATAAAACAGAACGTGCTGTCCCTGAGAAAATGAACCACGCTTTTAAAATGATTTTATAAATGTTCAATTTTATAAATTTAAGTCACACCCAATAAAACGGAATTTGTTTTTTCCTTCATGTAGTAAACAGCTCCATTGTTACTGTAAAGCCACTTTAGTTTTACTTCCGTCATCACTTGTCTGGCCTGCACCTGCGGCGCTCAGCATCCTCTCACGGCAGGCGTCCTGCCCCTGGTCCACAGTGCGCCCATAGCGACAGCGTTGATGGACACCAACTCTGACCAACGAGAAGCCTATGCTGCATCATTCTGCGTATCTTCGACATCTGATTGGTTGCTAAGGGCGGGGCCCTGTCATCCAGGGCAGTAGCGCTGTCAGTGGAGGAGACACGATTCCTAGAGGCGAGAGAAAAGAAAGGGAGACGAGACGGTTTGATGAAAACAAACGGCAAAAATACACGAACAAAAAGCAAGAGGAAGGAAATGAACCTGTAGCCTCCGAGGTCGACACAGAAAAGGTACAGTTTCGTTTAAAATCGTCTTAACGATGTGTCTAGTCTTTCTTTGGCTTTGTGTTGACGACAAAGCCAATGACTTGATAGAAAACCGATTAATTGCCACCGTGGTTGTTGCTGGCTGGTTAGCGTCTGATAGCTGCTGGTACAGCTGGTTAATTTGTAAACTGAGAAAAACATATTTTGAACCAAACGTGGCGTTTTTTCTAAAAAAAAAAAAAAAAAACAACAAAAAAAAAAAAACAAAAAACAAGGACCTAACATTGCCGCTGCTGTGCTTTGTGAAGGTTAGCTTAGCATCGGTTATTGTGGTTATGTTGTCGCAGACTGATAGTTAAAGGACACTTTGTGATGGCGGTGATAAATAACATGCTAGTCTGTTAGCAGCCGGCTAGGTGGCGAAAATGAACGAATTTCCAAACACCACCATTTGTATAAATATATCTAATTCGTCTTTTGTTGTGAACAATTTTAATGAGTCTTACAAAGTAATTGCATTGTGTTTGTATTTATGTTTTCGAAAGATATCCATAATATACGTATATACCCTGTATCATTGTACTTAAATGGTGGCTCATGACCCAAAATTAGGGCATACATTTAGTAAGTGTGTGATCTGAATTACACATTACACACCCCAAGTCCTGCCGCAGAAATCAACGTATTTAAACAAGATTTATAGTGTGCTGCTATAGAAACACATGCTTTTTGCTATAGAAACAGAAAGAAAATAACAAAATTAAAAAACCCTCCGTATTTTATTGTATACACTGTAACATTAATAAGAACATGTCCAATTAAAGACTATGTATAATACTGGATCATTCTTTATGTAAAAGTAGTGCTTTACAAATTATGTCACATTAAGAAAACTCAGTTGGAGCATGTGTCCTAAAGATCATATGATATACATCACTATTCTATATCAGTGTTTCTTAAAATGGTTGGCAAGTACTCCGCTGAAAATCATCTAGATTTTAACTGTGAGGTATCACCGTTATTTTGTTGTTGTTGTTTTTTATCTTTATCTGTTATTCATACTGCAGCAGTTTTTCCCCAAATGAGGTGGAGGATAGAGAAAAGATTGGAGAAGGACAAAGAGAAAAAATTAATACAAACACGTAAGTGTAAAAACATTTTTCATGCAGTGTGTGCTTGTCCAATCAAATATAGGTTAGATTAATCAAGAAAATCTGCTCAACATGACATTGGTGATATTAATCAGAGTTGCTGTGCCCTTTAGTCATTCATCCTGAACTGTGTCACACAAATCACACTACTTTCTCATATTGAAATTGAGTGATTAAAGTGTTTCACAATTGTTTCTTTGGCTAAAGAAGAAATATCAATTTTTTTTGTTAAAACTTTTTTTTTTAAATTACGTTTCCGTTTAGCTTTAATGTTCTGAAGTTATTTTTTATTGTTATGTGTTGTGTCTAAGCCTCACTTATAACTGAAATAACTGAAATACAATTTTTTACGTAAAATTAAGTCAAATAATAAAAATTGCATTGTGGCAAAAAGTTAAAAAAAAATAGAAACAAAGGCATAGTTACCAAGGTGTGGAGTTGGAATGCTGATTTATTACCTTTTAAATCTTCTGAACATACTATAGCTGAAATAGTGATTTTCTGTAACAATCCATTCAGGACATAAATGTCAAATAAATAACAAATTAAACAATCAGGATGTTTAAACTGCATTAAAACATTTTTGAAAAATAATTAAATCAATTTATATTTATATTTTAACCTAAATTTTACAAAATAAATATGTTTGTCTTTGATAAAGTTACACTACACAGATGGTGTACAGTTTTATGTTGAGAAAGAATTATTCAAGAACTTAAAGTGCTTTAACACAACTAGCACAACACATTGACTATGTTCAAATTCTATATTCCCAATTTTCATAAAACAAACCAAAGTTGTGACATCAGTAATATTTAATATCCAATGTCCTGATACCACAAACAAATATAGTATTAAAATACTTTCTTGGTCTGGCAGGAAGCAGTCGTTGGTCTTTCTATTTTATATCTGTTTGCATTAAAAGCTCTTCCACTGTAGCCCATGTAGCCACTTCTGTCATGACAGAAAAATATAAATTATCCACTGTAGCCCATGTAGCCACTTCTGGTAACACAAAAAAAAAAATAATTTAAAAAAACAAAAAACATTTTTTACAAGAAAAACATGTTCAGTTTTTCTAAACTGAACTTACAAGATAAATACATTTTACTAAAAGAAGAAGAGATATCTATTCACAACACAAATTTTCATGAGATGTTGAAACTTCAAACTTCAGATGTGAATAACAGCTCAGTTCATTTGTGTTTTTTTTTTTTTTCTGTTCTGTGTGGTGCAATAATGATTGCCTAAACTCTACAAATATTTTACTGCAGAATCTGTACTCCAGACTGCATCTCACCCTTGCACCCTTGCACGCTTTCGACACCAGCACGCAAGTGAACCATCCATCTTTCCTCACTGTCATTGTTTCCATAGATACTACACAGCACCTCACTCCTACTGGCTTATGTAAGCCGGTGAGTCTGCCAGGCCGGCACAAATCCACACATATACCGAGACATTACTGCACACTTAGACACACATTCTTTTCAGTCACACTCCTTGTCTAAGTCTGTCTCAGAAGCTGTGGTGTTAAAACTTTTTAAGAGGTGTTTGTGTTGCAGTTTGATTAATGATTTACGGATATTGAATTGAAATGCTTGATTCACTGCTATTGAATTAGTTGATCCTCTGAGCTGTTTACTGGAGCATTCATTGGCACATTACTGGCCACTGAGGTTAAGTTGCATAACTCAGCTCATTACATGTATGGAAAAACCAACTGTGGTGTTGTGATGTGTGTTTGTATGCCCACATCCATGGCTAATCAGGCACAGTTAAGATGAAAAGATATCAGTTATCTTTCCTATCTTTTCTTGTATCATTCTGCTAATTTTCCCAAGGACTTTAACTCACAAATTATTAGATAACACACATTTTAAATATCTTGAAGTAGACTTGGAGTTTCTTATTGCCTTCATATGCACAGCCAGCAAGCTAAAAAAAACATAGAATAAAGTCATTTTCAAGAAACCTAATGTATATGCAACTGTTTTCAAAACAACTTGTCAGAAAAGTCAGATCTTATTATTTTTTAACAATACCCTCAGGGGGGCGCCATTTTACAGCCAGTGTGCTAGTGCCAAACTGAAGAAGTACAAAGCAAAACAAAAAAACGAAAAACACTGACATTTAAAAGATTGCTGATACTGTGAACGGGTATTTTTGAGCTAGTTCAAATACTGTGGATGGCTGCAGAGTTTAAGGCTCTCAGATACATTTGCTAAAATGTGTACATACATTTAAAGTCAGTCCACTGCTAATCATGCTGTATCAACAAGTTATGTGGCCACACTGTGGTTACATTTTAGTCATCAATAGACAGAATTTAGACGTTCTTGTTTCTTTATGCCAAAGATTTGTGTGCACCTCCCTCAGTGCAATACCTGTATAAACATGTTGTGAGTAAAATAGGCAGTATATCTGCCCTCTCCTTCCCTGCTCGTCAAAACCAGTTGTAGGAATGCTCCAGTGCCTGCCTATGATTAAAGTATCTCATACCTATTCACCTAAAAAACAAATGTATTCAACTCAGTAACAATAATACCACATCTGTCTATTGTCTACTACGCAGATTAAAAAGATCATGGAGACATAATAATCAGCAAAAGTTTGGATAAAATAATATTTCTGTCAGTTATTTACCTAAAGTTAAAAAGTTAAATAAATGTTTTCATATGAAAAGACCTACATCTTAAATATGATTACTTTATGTTATGGTATTTATGTGACTGTAAATGTTCTCTAAGCAAAATGTTTCATACAAAGATAGAGTATTTTACACTGTGGCATTTGGTAGTTTAATTTCTAATACAAGATAAAGTATGATGTGGATCAAATCTTTTAAATCAACTCTTACTTTAACATGACACAAAAACAAAATACAACATTCTAAAGTATTTCTAAAATGGCTATAAAGAAAGGCAGCTTTAGCAATCTAAATAAATCCTTGATACAATTAGGAGAAGCTTTTTTGTCATGTAGTGTTACATTGTCAATTACAAAGCAAACAATTCTTGTGGTCAGCCTCTACTGTCATAATTTTAAGATGTCATCATAGTGAACTTCTGAACTAAAGTCTATCTTCAGCCTGTAATCCAAAAGTAAACTTGTTTATGCCCTCAGTTTTCTTGTTAGCTTTGGTTGGCTGAGTTGTTTGGTTGTGGTTTGGGCAAATGTTACAATAGCAGCATACTTGAGTGGCAAGAAAAATAAAGCTTTTTTTTGTGGCAGAAGTGGTAAATAATGTTGCAAAGAATGATCATCCGTGTGATGAGTGGTTTGTTGATTGGCAATAAATTCCCCTGTATCTCCTTCTTAACACAGGCTTTAAGCAGACCTGTAATTAGAACAATAGAAAAACATGTTATCGTGTTAGTCACAAAAATAATGTTAACCTATAAGACATAGAAAATAATCGAATAGCACTAAATTGTTCTTTGTAAATACAGTGCTCTTTGTCAGATACAGTAGTTTGGAGTGTAATTACTTCTTCATATTGATATTGAATTGGTCTCTCACGGTGGTTTGAAGTTATGGCCGACAATTCTAGATTTAGAAGTTGAAGTTGGTTTAATGCACCCATAACTTCATTGTCAATAAATAGACAGTAGAGGGATACTTAAAAATAATATATTAAAAAATATGATTAATCTGTTCACCATCTTATCAAAATTAATTTACATTAGTAATATTAGCAACAACATTAGTGTTCTACTTTACTTTTGACCTACATTCGAAATTCAGAGCTGAATGATTAACATCGCAAAATAAGCTAGTAAGAATAAAAAGGATTACTTTGACGTGTGAGAGTGACAGCATTGTAGTGAAATCACCCCTGACACCATGGCATCAGGTCATGCAAACAAGAGAGTGTCAAACCTGTGTAGCCTGACAGATACATGCAGTAAAAATAATTACCACCCATTAACTACCATAGAAACAGAACCATAAAAATCCTACGTTTTACATTAGGGTATTAAGAGTATATAATTTTCTATCTAAAACCTAATAATAGCCTCAGTCTGCAGTAGACAAAACAAACTAATGAAAGCCTGTGGATGTGTTCACCAGGACATTCTTTAAGATAATTGGTTGACTGGCATGTTTTCTTAGATTGGCAGGCTTGTGTTGTCACATTAATGAAAGGACAAAAACAATATTCTTTTTGTGCTTGCATGTATGATAAAGAGTGTCTTAATAGTTGGCTGCTGACTCCCTCTAGGGGATGGCACGCCTCTCTAACTCACATTGGCAACCCGCCTCCCTCGGTTTGTTTGCTTTCATTAACTGTTTCCTTGCCATGGTTGGGGAAGCATATATTTAACATTGTGATGTTGTAAAAACTAGGATTTTTAAAAAGAACTAAAAATTAAAGTAGATGTTGAGAATATCATAACATGAATATTTTAAAAATAATTAAATTTGCAATTTACCATCTGAACAATATAATTATGTAGGACTGATTGAATGTATTTTATTCAAACCAAACACTCATCAATATATTGTTGTACTTAAGTAGCATATGTTCTACTGTAAATAGATCATTTGCCAAATCTATCAGTATCCTTGATGTCCAAAAAATTGGTTAGTAAAATTTAGTTTTGGCACTGATGCACAGCCACTGTGAAACACAGTGATTGCAATCATTGCTGTAACTTCAATGTTAAATGTTGACAGAGTTTAAAGAACGTTTTGAAAGTGTACATGATCATTTAGTTGCTGTCACACATAAACACAAGCCTTCAGGTGATGCCCTCAGTGGAGTTGATGTCATGACAATAGTAGCATAAACAGCAGGAAGTGGGATCAGAAAGGTGTTTCTCCAGAGATTTTAACTGCCCTACCTAAAATGCAGCATGAACAAACATGCATTTCAAAGCCCTGAGTAGGAAAGAAGTGTTTCCACATACTGTTGTAAATTATTGATATTGCACTGAAGTTTCTTTAACTTACTACTTTTCTTACTATTCTGTTTCTCTTGCCATAAAAAATAATTGTGTTAAATAGTTTATTGTAATTTATTTGAGAGTGAATGTTTATTCAGCTTCTAAACGTTTTCCTCAGTAATAAAATAATTATATATATATATATATATAGAGAGAGAGAGAGAGAGAGAGAGAGAGATTTGGACTATTATATTTATAGTAAACGATAACATTATGCCACAAAACACTAGACAACTACCTCGGGGCTCGTGGTTGTTCCTGTTTGTCTTTGCCTTTTTGCCTTCCGCATCTGTATAGGGGTGTGTCCGCCCTCAGTAATCCTACACCATTAACACATTGAGGTTAACTGGCTAAACAGCCTCAACCAGTGACTACAGCAAGTACGGCCTTTACTCACACCCACATGCCATGTGTTGGGTGTCTGCATCAAGCCGCTGCATGCCATTCAGCTATGCATTACTAGCACGTGAGATCACAAGGATGAAACAAGAAGAAGCAAACAGGTGTGCGAGGTAGCAGAAGTTGAGAAAGAAATTATTTCATCTGTTCATGGTAACCCCAGGGGATTTGGTAGGGGGAAAAAATCCCAGAGAGAAAAAAGAGAAAGGGAGAGAAAGAGGGAGAGGTTAAGGGAACCTCCCAAACTTCACAAACCACCCTATCAAGCTGCGCTCTTGGAATTGGATCCCTCCCTTGTTCACTACCTGAGAGCAAAAAAACACAGTTGTGCCTCAGAGACTCAGAGAAGTGCAGGAGTAATAGGGAACACACAGAGAATAGGTAAGGAAAATATTAAATGTAAGGAAATGATAGCTCAGTTTTACATTGAATGAAATTGCCTACCAAAAATATGAGAAGACAAGAAGATCAAGTTGGTTTTTTTACGGAACAAAAGGGAATTTGAGAAAAAGAATTTCTCTGGAACAACTAAAGAATGAGCTTTTTCACTGTGGACTATATGAAGCAACATAAATAGAATCACCCTAGCCATTGATTGAAGAAATTGGAAGCAGACATGTGGACAAAAGAAGAAGAATGATGTAAAGAAATATGGAAACAAGGACTACAGAATTCCACGGACACTAAATGGGTTAAAATATTTTTTTCTATTTCTTTACTTTTGGACCATCATCAGTATCAGCTTCATTAACCAAATATGAAAGCACATTCTAGACTTTTGCTTCTAGTTTGTCTGCGACTCCCTTAGTTTACCCTCCTCTGGTGTCTTCTCTGCGAGTTTTCAAGGATGGCTAGTTTTTAAAAACACCACCAGACCACCAGGAGTGGGTCAAGATTGTGGAGACATGTCTCTTGAAGATGTTGGAAGCATTTCCAGTCTTGTGTTTGAAAGTAGTGCTTCAGATATCTACGATAGTCAATCTTTGAGCCAAAGTCAAGACCAGGATCTGAATAACCAGAGTCAAGGCCAAGATGGGATTTTTCTGGACCGCATTGCCTCTCTGTCAGTGGACATGTTTGACCCCAGTGACTTCACTGGCAGGTTCAGTAAGATCCAATCCAGGTCCAGAAAGCGGACAAGGATTATTAGAGGTAGGTGCAGAAAAGCCTTTTTTTACTTCTTTAAATAAACATTTAAATAATTTACAAATAAAGGTTAACAGTTTAGATATTCAATTAAAATTATCTTTTTAGTTAAAATTATGAAATTATTTAACTTGTGGGTTTACAGTAGGCCAGTTGTCAAGGAAAAGACACAAATTAGCTTAACTAACCAACGTGCAGCATGGGTTGAGTTTTTATTTAAACTGGTTTTCAACAATTATTCTACCACTGTTGTTACCCTTCAAAAGTAAGGACTTTTTGTAGACCCTCTGAAAGTCATTTTTCTCTTTCTTGAAAATCACAATAAGACTACTCTAATCATTGTGCTTCAGGCTTTGGGAAAAGAGCTTCTTATGTGGTTTTTGCCATGGATCCAAGCACAGGTTTTCTGTACCATACATTCTTTCTTAGCTCACCATAAGCTCTTATCTGCTAAATATTATACTAAATAAATACTACTGATTGCAGTAGAAATTTTGGATCTCAAGTAGTATGTCAGTTAAATACTATGTCAGTTAAATACATACATATATATATATATATATAACATTTATTGAATGCATTAGAAGTGTGGATGGTGTTGTAAACCTGATACATTTGCATAACAATTGAACCATAATAGCTGCTATGAACTTTTAACCTCTAGTAGCAGGAAGATCTATTTTCCTATCTTAGTTGCACTTTGCCTCTGGTGCAGTACTTCTGTTTGTACAGTTGTTAACAATAACAGTAACATCAAGTGGATAGTCAACAGGTAAACACTTTGGCTTGGATTTCTGTATACTAACAACCACTATCAGAAAATTAGTTTTCCTTTTACAGATCAATTAACACTGAAGCAAACAATTACAGTTTGATACAATCAATCTTTGTGCCTTTGTCATCAGTAATGCAGGAAAAGCCAGTAAATCCTGTGAAATTAACTAAACTTATATTTTTCAAATAACCTGTATTTAGTTTGACTTATCTTTAAGCTGTCAAGGGCCTGTACAAATAACCTTTGAAGGGGAAACCCACGGTGAGGTAATGTCTCTGCATGAAATTGTCACTTGTAGGAACATCCATCCAGATATACTTACTTTAAATTAAGGATGGGCTATAAACTGAAATTTTTAGTGTAACAGCAGTGCTAAGTGGCTTTGATACTGTGATAGTGGACATGGTAGAGGTTGTGGCGTCAATGGCAAAGGTCCACTTGGCACGGAAACTCCTGACACATGCATTCTTCACCCTGGTGATCTATTTGATCTGCACAGCTGTGTCAAGACAATACCACTGTGTGAACCTCAAACACAATTTAACATGGGTTAGGGGCTGTAATAATTAAATCATGGGGTTTCAGGATGCAAAGACTGTAGCCATTTAATCAGTTATCACCAGAAGCACAATCAGGAGCTTTTTGAATAGTATTGTAATTTCAGGATTCTAAATCAAATCCTACTCAGTTCCAACATTGAACTTTATTCTATGGTGATTTATTAAGCTTGATCAATTATCAAAAAAAGGTTTTCTAACTATGGTTTTCAGATATTTTTGGTCTAATTAATCATTGGTTAGTTGGGAATTAATCATGATTAGTTGTGACGGTTACTTAATTAATCATGATAGATAATCTGGGCATAGATATCCATAAAAAGATGGTGATGATGTCACTTTTTTGGGGGGTTTTCCCAAGGACTTTTAAATAACATTTTTTTTCTTTGTTTTTGACATTTTGATGGCCTAGCATACTTAACATTGGCTGTCACAATGGATTGCTCAGTTTGAGCTGTGCTCTGACAGAGTGTCATGTCTAATTGCATTTAAGGATTGTGCAAATTGTTAAACTTTTGATATTACGTGGATATTTCTATAAATGTATTAAATGTAATCATTATGTATGTGCTCATGTGAGTCTGGAGTCACATTCCAACAGCTGGCATGCTCAGGCCCCTGCTCAGAATGTGTGGAATCTTAGGACTTTCATAAGGGTGTGTGTGTCTCTGTGAGTGAGAAAAAGTGAGAGGGTCCAAAATATTTTTTGGAAGCTATAGATAGATTTGTGCCTCTCTGTGGAACATCCACAATAGTTAGTAATGTAAATATACAGTATAGTATTTATGTGTTGGTGAGAAGCTGCTGTAAACAAGATTTTACTCATTGTCTTAAGGTTTAAGAAACTAGTGAAGCCAGAAGGCTTTGGGCTTTTTTGTTTTCTTTCTTATGTAGTTAATATTTCATGAAATGTTGGTTTTACCCTCGCTGACAGCTTTCCCTCTGCACAAAAACAATGTGTGTTAATAAATAAAATCTGTCATCCCCCTGCTGATCTTTGAATTCAGCTGTTAAGGGAAGCAGTCGGTTGAAATTAGATGATAGACTTGTTCAAGGCATTTGGATTATGTTTTTGGTAAGCAGGTTAACACAGACCCAGAGGTAAATGCTGATTTGGGGCCAAATCTGTAATAAAGAAAGCACGAGTTGTAGACAGTAAAATGCCTGCAGTGTTTCTCTGCTATATTCCTCCTCCCTTGAGTTTAGACTAATTGTCTGCTAATGTGAACCAGGCCAGTCATACTTCATCACATGAACTTCCTATGTCCCTCCTTCTCTTCATCCCTTCATATCCACTTCTCGTTTCACCCTCTCTTCTGTTCACATGTCCTGGGAAACATCTATGGCCCATCAAGGGAATTACATGATGACCCTAATTATGCACATGTACCTTTACGTTCTTTTACAATGTAATATCAAATTCCTACCAGATACATCAGTTTGGTGTGAAGAGTAAATATCATATACAGCACACGGTATAGTAAGTGCATTATAAAACTGATTGACTGACTTCTAATAAATAGAATTTAATCTGTCAGTCATCTGCTGTGTCAACAACTGTTTTGAGGAAAGGTCAATACTGATAATCTTTAAGTTAATCTTTAAGTTAAATTGTTTTCTATATCAAAATAAAAATCAGAGCGAATTAAAATATACAGTATACTGTATAATAAACTGCTCTAAATGGTGCTAGAATGTTTATGATAAAGCAACTGACATTACATGCACATATGTTATGTTACATGTCTTTACTACTCGCTGTCTTGTTACATTAAATCAATAAGGTAACAAAGCAGTAGTTGTTGATGTAATTAAATGTATGGCTCTCAATGACAGCAGTGCCATTGAGCAATTGTTATTTCACACCATTGGTTAGTGCAGGTTACGTGTCATTGTTTCTTTTTGCTCTCATTGGTTGAGGGTGGCCTTGCATCGTGCTCAGTCAGCACTTATTGAAAGATGCAGCTAAAGAACAGCAAAGAGGACACTATATAAAACAGGAATTTTATCTTTTACTTTTGCAGTGATTCCACTGTCTTTCTTCTCTCCAAATAGTCATATCCTTCCATTTTACTTATAATATTTTATGATATAAAGAATGATACATCTCTCTCTCTCTCTCTTGCGCTCTCTCTTTCTCTCTCTCTCCCTCTCTCTCTCTCGCTCTCTCTCTCTCTCTCTTGCTCTCTCGCTCCTCAAAGAGGATTGGCTATTTCCACCTTCCAACATCCATGTATCACTGTCCTGAGAGAGCAAAACAGAGAGGGGCAGGGGGTGTTAGCTGTGAACACAGCAACACAACCGAGGCTTCTCTCTTTTCCTTCTTCTCTGACACACAAACAAACAGAAACGCACTCTCAGCCGCAGCATCTGCATGATTGGCTGCATACCTCCTTCTCCCTGGTTCTTGTCACTCTGCCGTCCTCTCTCTTCTTGACTCCCCCTGGCTCTTGCTTGCTTCTTCCACAAAACGCCTCATCCTGCCGTCCTGTCCCCCCTCTGCTGTCTGTCACCGTGGCGACATATCCTCCGCAGCCATGGCGACTAGCCAGCAGGACTCGGGCTTCTTTGACATCAGCATCAAGTCTCTGCTCAAGTCCTTAGGAGGTAGTGAGTAAAACCTCAGAGTTGTTGTTAATGGCATAGACACTGCCTCAGTCTTTTAAGATGTTCATCAGTGAATATTGCATTTGTCTCCTTCACTCGTTTAGTCTGTTTGTTTATGCTTGGTTACAAGCTGTATACATTTTGAACTTCATTAACAATATTTGACAGTGTTATGGTATTAAATTACCAAAGGACAAGGGGTGAAAACAGATCATCCGCAACCTTAGCAGTTTCATATGTTTATTTTCAAACTAAAATTTAGACACATTCTTTATTTACAAAATGTATAACCGAAGCTTATGAAATCACTGCATCGTGTAATTCATTTAACCGTGGAATCAATACTCTGTAAGTGTAAACCCAGACTAAATGCCAAATGCATAGGGGCATTAACCTTAACATTAGAGTAAAGATAAAACTGTAGGGTTAGTCTCATAGAAACACTGTTTATGTAGTTCCCTTAATGCATGCTGCGGTCTTTCTTTGCTCTAATATTCGAGTTTCCTTCTGTAAACAAGTAATGTAGCCTCTCTGATACTGTGTATGTGTGTTGTGCAGTAAGAAGTTACAGTACACTACACTTGATGTTAGGCTAAATTGCGAGGATGTGAGTACACGTGCGTGCCATCATTCCACACACACACACACACACACACACACACACACAGGGTAGAGTGAAGGACTGACAGTAGGGGTTATGTTGGTTACAGTGTTATTGCAGAGGATGTGTTGATGATTGCCCTTCAACCATTCATGAAACTTTAATATGAAAGACCTCACAGATCATGGTGATGTGATGCATACGTTTCAGGAGATATGTTCAATTTATAGAATAGAAAATAATCAGAACCACATAGGCTGTCTGCTCCAAGGTCAAGCTAATAATGGCAGTCAGTAGACTAGAGAGCAGAGAAGCAATCCTGCTGTGGTCGATGGTAGACTTTTGCTTCTTATCATGTAAAATTACAAGATAAATAGCTGACCTCATCAACTGTGATCCATCTTATAGAAATTTCGAACACATGCATACACTTGTGTGTCTTTATTTAATGATGTTCTACATCGCT